CACGTGGCCACTGCTGCAGCCGCACGACATCATGTTATTCATAACCAGCAATAGAACACAAATTGTTCTCTGTTGCCTTTTTGGCAGATCTGAGTGTTGGGGTAAAATCCCAAATAATCATAGTGGATCTGGTGTGGAAATATTAAATGTAATCAAAGTAGAGGGAGAGTAATGTGGAAATCATCTGCCCCACAGGTAGGGGGAGGGTGTGGGATGGGAGTATACTGGAGTTTTTGGTGGTGGAGAATGGGTACTGGTGAAGGTACGGGTGTTTTATTGTATGACCAAGACTTAAATCCAAAAGCTTTGCAACTACTCTCACGGCGATTCAGTAAATAAAATTATAAATAAATGGAAAAAAAAAGTAAGGTGGAGTTCATGTCCAATTCAATCAGCCTAATCAGTGGCTGAATAAACAGCAGTACTCCTACATTAAAAAGAAAAAGAAAAAGAACTGTAGCATTGTCCTCCCATTGTCCATCAATTTGCTGGAGTGGGCACCAGTAACGTCTCCATTGTGAGGCTTGTTATTACTGTTTTTGGCATATCGAATTTGACACGGGGAGCTAGTGAGGCTCTGCTATGTGTGCAGAATACTCTTGGTAGCTTGCCAGGCTCTCTGAGAGAGATGGAGGAATCGAACCCAGGTCAGCTGTGTGCAAGGCAAACGCCCTACCGACTGTGCTATCACTCCAGCCCTAGCATAAGAACAGACATATAAATCAAGGAATAGAAAGGTCCATAGTTAAATTTTTTTAATGGCAAATTAAAAACAGAAGGCTCCAAGACATTTTAATGACCAAAGGAAGGTATTTTCAATGAACAGTATAGGAATGATTAGACATCCACACTGAGAAAAGAATCTTAAGACAAATAATATAATCATGATCCATAAAAATTAAAAGGTGCCATTTCAGACTTCATAAAAAGTAGTAATTCTTTTTCAAAAGACACTATTGAGAGTGAAAAGACAAGTAGAGACTGGGAGAAATATTTACAAGACAATTATCTGATAAAAGATTTGTATCCTGTGACGGTATGGCTCACAGGCTGGAGACATGTGCTTTGGATGCTGGAGGCCTGGGACTGATTCCAGCACCCGGTCCCATGACCTGGTCCTTCAGGCAGATTCTTGTCTCTGGCTACTGAAAACTAGAAGCAAGAACCACACCCAGGGAAAGAAGTGAGGGAGGGAGAAAGAGAAGGAAGGAGGAAGTGAGGGAGGGGGGAAAGGAAGGAGGGAGGGAGGGAGGGAGAGAGGGACTCACAAAGTACAGACAAAGGGTCTCAAGCATGGGAAGTCCCAGGAGGATGGAAGTAAACAAATATTGAAATATTATACTAAGGAAAGCAAGTGAGAGAGAAAGATAAACTCTGTAAGATCCACTCAGATGCAGCATCTAAAAACACTGAACTTGGGGTTGGAGCGATAGCACAGCAAGTAGGGCATTTTTGTCTTGCATGTGGCTGATCTGGGTTCGATTCCCAGCATCCCATATGGTCCCCCAGCATCGCCAGGAGTCATTCCTGAGTGAGAGCCAGGAGTAACCCCTGTGCGTCGCTGGGTGTAACCCCCCCCACAAAATAAATAAAATAAAACTTGCCTGAGCCATATGGGAAAGGAAAACACAGAGATTACCAGCCCTCCTCACCTAATTTCATTTCTCATCAATAAAACTTAAAAAAAAAAAACCTGAACTCATAAATACTGAGAACAGATCTTTGACTGCCAGAGATGGCAGTCAAATGTGTGGGAAACAGGGGAATGTGGGGATGGAAAGATAGCTCAAAGGTGGATACTTTGAATGTGGATGGCCTGGTTCAATCCCTGGCACCACACTCACACTGTCCTCTGAGCACCACTGAGAGAAACCCCCAAGCAACCAAGCCCAGTGATGTGCCCCAAAACAGACAGCCACAACAAAAAGGTGAACCTGATTAAAAGGTACAAATTTCCCATTAGAAGGTAAGTAAGTTCTGACCATGTAATATACATCATGGTGGCCACAGCTATCAACATTGTTTTGTATATTTGAAAGTTGCTAAGAAAACAGACTTTCTCATCGAAAGGCCAGGGAGAGGATTCAAAGAACCAGAGCATATCCAAGCAGGACCCAGGATTTCATTCTGGTACCGTGTGGTTTCTCTCTCTCTCTCTACAACGCCACCCCCCACCACACACACCCCAGCACATGCTGGACAGTGAAGTGATGAATGTTAATTATAATCATTTCATGATATTGACATTATAAAATCATATTTCAAGCTCAAACATTAGTTTTATGTTCTATGCACAATGTTATATGTGCATTTTAACAAGACTAGGGGAAACCCATCACTAGAGAAAAGGGCAATAGCTCAAAGGACTGGATGGAGCATAAGCAATATATTCCTGAGGGTGGAAAAATCAACCCTACTGGAGGCAGGAAATTACACTGTAAAGGGGGCAGGTGTTAGGACATTGTATGACTAAAACCCAACCATGAACAACTTTGTAACTATGTACCTCACTGTAATTCAATTTTAAAAAGAGAGAAAGAACCTTCATATTAAAAGGGGGCTGGGGGTAAGAAAGACGAACCGTTTGAAAATGTACTAGAAAAAATAAAAGAAATAAAATGTACTAGAAATAATACCAAACAGTACTAAGGTTAAGGCACTAGCCTTCCATAAGCACTGTGCTAGAGACACCCGTTTGAACTCCACCCCTCTCCTGAGCACCCCGCCCCCCAACTCTCCTCCACCCCCTCCCAAATGCAATCATTCAATATAAACTCTAAGAGCAGAAAATGGTCAAGTTGAGGCTGGAGAGATAGGATGGTATATAGGCATTATTCTTGCACCCCACTGGTCTAAGTTTGATCCACAGTGCCCCATATGGTCCCCAAGCCTTCAGGAGTAATCCCTCAGGAGTAATCACTCAGGAGTAATCCCTGAGCACCACCAAGTGTGGCCCAAAAACAAAAAAGTTCAACTTCTCTAAAACATAGCAGAAAAACTGCTATTTATATATGTTACATTAAATCAGCCTGATGGTAACCCATTAGAGAACCTTTTCAGTGTCAAAAAAAAAACAAGTGAGATGTGTGAAGATCAAAACAGTAGACCAAGATAAAATTTATATTTGAAAAGGAGAAATGGCAAGGATATCAATCAGAGGGCTGGAAGCTGTGGGGTTAAATTCTCCCTATCCCACCCACATATACACTATATGCCTGCGATACTGCCTGTGTTACCAGCCCTCTTCAGTGCTTTACTGCCAGGTTTGAGTACTGAACAGACAGCTCCACAGAGCTGGGCCAAATACTAACTGAAATAATCCTGGAGAAGAAAATTAGTGACTCCTATTACATATTGTGGAATATTATTAAGCTTTAAAAAAAGAGAGGACCCCCAGGGATAGTACAGGGTTTAGGGTAACAGGATTACATCCCTAACACTTCATATGGTCCCCAGAGCCCTCCAAAAGTTAGCTCTGAGCATCACTAGGTGTACCTCTAAAAGAAAATATAAAATAAAATATAAGAGAGACCCTGCCATTTGTAATACATGAATAAATCTGGAGGATATTAGGCCTAGGGAAATAAGTCAGTCAGAGAGAAAACAGCTTTCATGGTCTCAGTAGTGCAAGGAATCTAAAATCGTTAGATACATAGAAACAATAGAACAATGACTACCAGGAATGAGAAGGGTTGGTCAAACCGTACAAAGTTGCAGTGTGGATAAACCTGGAAATTGAATCCACAGCTGATGAAAACAGGCCGCTAACACTGTAATGGAATACTGGAAATTTACAAATAAATTTTAGGTTAATTTTATACACACAGACAAGCACACAAAGTTAACTATGATGATAACAAGTCTGAGTTTAATAATCAACTTCCTATGTCTATTTCAATCGAATTACATTGAACTCTTTACATATCATTTATATATATATGTATATATTATATACATATATATATATATAAACTTTGAAACTGCATTTTGCCAGCTAATCGCTCCCTGTCACTGTCCTCCCGTTGTTCATCCATTTGCTCCAGCGGAGCCCAGTAACATTGTGAGACTTGTTACTGAGTTTGGCATATCAAATACATCACGGTAGCTTGCCAGGGTTTGCTGTGTGGGCGAGATACTCTCGTAGGTAGGTTGCCGGGCTCTCTGAGAGGGGCGGAGGAATCGAACTCCGGTCGGCTGTTTCGGCTGCGTGCAAGGCAAACGCCCTACTCGCTGTGCTATCGCTCCAGCCCAATCGCTACCTAAGTTTAAAAAAAAAAACCCACTACTCAACCCCTCTAGGCTTTTATTTATTCACTGAAAATAAGGGCATTTTTATGCGAATTGACCTAACGCCTGGGTCCCATCGGATGGTTTTCTCGAGCTCTGAAGCTCTGCTTAAACGCTTAAGTTTTGAGAGAACGTAGGGCAAAGCAGGGGAGTTGTTTCGAGCTCGGGAAACCCAAAAACTGGGAACTGACTACCACCCTCCCGGGATGCACGGGCAACCCACTGAAACTCCCCGCCTCTTGGCTGGTCTGCAGCATTTGCACTTGGCTTGCTCGGCTGAGGAAGGGGTCTGGGAATGAATTCGTTCTCACCGCCAGCTAACGGGATGTGCTGCGCGTTCTTTTGCCCGCGAGATGGCAGCCTTCTCCCAGCCGGCCACACTCCCTCCTACACCTCTCGACCTTCAGCTCCAGCTAAAACCCAAGCAACAGCACACAGGGGAGTCCCCGACATCCTCCCACAGCCGCGGCTCCGGCTCCACTCTCTGGAGCCAGCGCCAGTTGCCCCGGCCGAAGCGGCCCCAGGACGGCGCGCGCGGGGCCTCTCGCGAGATCGCCGCCGGAAGTGGGCGTCTTCGCGGACGCACGCCCGGGACTTACCTTTCTCCGGAAGGCGAGCGCTTCTCCGGAGCGGCGGCGGCGGCGGCGGCGGCTCTCGGCTCTGGGGCACCCTCCGCTCGGCGAGGACGGGCTCTCCCGTGGCGGCCTCTTCTTCCTAGCGCCAGCCTCGGGCTCGCCGCCTTTCCCGGCTGCGGCCCGGCCCGCGGAGCCCGCACTGCCCCCCGCGCCCCGCCGGCCCCGCTCGGCGCTGCTGTTAGGCCGCGCCCTCGCAGGCCCAGTCCGCGGCGGCTCCGGCCGGTGATGCCCAATACAGCCATGAAGAAGAAGGTGCTGCTGATGGGGAAGAGCGGCTCGGGGAAGACCAGCATGCGGTCGATTATTTTTGCGAATTACATCGCCCGCGACACCCGGCGCCTGGGGGCCACCATTGACGTGGAGCACTCCCACGTTCGGTTCCTGGGCAACCTGGTGCTGAACCTGTGGGACTGTGGCGGCCAGGACACCTTCATGGAGAATTATTTCACCAGCCAGCGGGACAACATCTTCCGCAACGTGGAGGTGCTGATCTACGTGTTCGACGTGGAGAGCCGCGAGCTGGAGAAGGACATGCACTACTATCAGTCGTGCCTGGAGGCCATCCTCCAGAACTCGCCGGACGCCAAGATCTTCTGCCTGGTGCACAAGATGGATCTGGTCCAGGAGGATCAGCGCGACCTGATCTTCAAGGAGCGCGAGGAAGACCTGAGGCGACTCTCCCGGCCCCTGGAGTGCGCCTGTTTCCGAACCTCCATCTGGGACGAGACGCTTTACAAAGCCTGGTCCAGCATCGTCTACCAGCTCATCCCCAACGTGCAGCAGCTGGAGATGAACCTGCGGAACTTCGCGCAGATCATCGAGGCCGACGAAGTTCTGCTGTTCGAGAGAGCCACGTTCTTGGTCATCTCCCACTACCAGTGCAAAGAGCAGCGCGACGTGCACCGGTTTGAGAAGATCAGCAACATCATCAAGCAGTTCAAGCTGAGCTGCAGCAAGTTGGCCGCGTCCTTCCAGAGCATGGAGGTCCGGAATTCCAACTTCGCCGCCTTCATCGACATCTTCACGTCGAACACATACGTGATGGTGGTCATGTCCGATCCGTCCATCCCGTCGGCAGCCACACTGATCAACATTCGCAATGCGAGGAAACACTTTGAGAAGCTGGAGAGAGTGGATGGACCCAAGCACAGCCTCCTTATGCGCTGAGTGTTGCCAAATGCTTCTTGAAAATGCTCAATTGCCTTTCCCCTCCCCAGCCCCCAACCCCCCTTTTTTTTCCAAAGAGATGTATTCATTATGTTGTGTGCTTCAATGTGGGCTTTCAAATGTGTGCAGCTTACTACCTTGATCTCTTTTCTTCCCTACTCCCCAGTCTTTAAAGTTGGGCGCTACTCAGTTATCCAGGAGAGCTTCACGAGGGCTTTTCTGAAAAGTTGGTACGGTGTTAACACTAAAGTAGGTGGTGTGTGTATGTGTGCGTGGTTGTTGATGACCTGGTTATACTAGATACATCAAAGCCTTTACAATATCTTACTGTATTTCTTACAAGATTACAAAGATAGAATGTTAACTATTTTATCAGCAAGGTATTAAAATGCATTTATAAATTCTCTTTGGCTTCGATCATGAGTAATCACTGTTAGCGATTTAGAGCATGGTCTTCAAAACAGTGTGAAGTGGTGTAAATATGTAGATCTAAAGGTTCTGACTGCCCACAAGTATTGCTTTACCGGGTAAATTTGATTGCAGTCTTAGGCTGCCTTAATACCCACTTCCCTTTACCTGGTGTTTCAGAGCAACTCTAAGTGAAAAGTAGACCATCCAAACTGTTCCCTTTACATACTAGCTCTGTGAACTAGGCAGAGTACTTCACTTCACTGTGCTTGTTGCCTTTATAGAAGAGTAGCACTCAGTATTTGGTAGGATTGACAGTTAAAATATGGAGAGCATTTAGAATGATGTGCCACATATAAATTGTGTGCCAAATTACTAATCTTTCTTCACCAATCCCAAATTACTATAAATAAACCTAGCTTAATCGTTGAGTTCTTAACTAAATGCCAGGTACTTTTAAGTACTTGATGTGTACATTTTTTGGGGGGAGGGGGGATTTGGGTCACACCTGGCAGTGCTTAGGGGTTACTCCTGGCTCTGCACTCAGGAATGCTCCTGGCAGTGCTCGGCGGACCATATGGGATGCTGGGGATCAAACCTGTGTCGGCTGCATGAACTATTATCCCACTATACTGTCGCTCTGGCCCCTCAATGTGCATTTTCTTAATCCACATAACCTATGAAGTAGGTTACTTTTCCTAATGGATGGGAAAGCTGGTTTATAGCCAATGGAAGCAATGTAGATAGGTCTTAGCCCTGTCTCCCAATCATTACAACCTACTACTTTCCCTGTTGACAAAAAAATAACCATAAAAATCATATTTTTACATACAGATTATGCCTTCATATAATTCCAGTTTTACAGACTGAGGAAACTAAAAGCCAAGAAGCTTTCTCTTGAAAGAGTATTTTAGGCAGTCACTTTTCCATCTGCATCTGAAAATTATATAATATTTTATCAAATTCTTAACATTGTCTACTTTTTTTTTTTTTTTTTTGCTTTTTGGGTCACACGTGGCAATGCACTGGGGTTACTCCTGGCTCTGCACTCAGTAGTCACTCCTGGGGTGCTGCTCGTGGGAACATATGGGATGCTGGGAATCAAACCCAGGTTGGCTGTGTGCAAGGCAAACACCCTATCCGTTGTGCTATCACTCCAGCCCCAACATTGTCTACTTTGGTGGCAGGATTCCAAGATTTCTTATTGAAATGTGGTATGATGGGAGAAAAACCAAAAAAAAAAAAAAAAAGTCCTGTTTCAACTTTCTTAGAACTTTTTTAAATGAAACTAAGTCACTAGTCTTAGTTTCATTTAAATGAAACTAAGATTTTCTTAGATCCAACTCCTCATCTTTCATTATTTGTGAGGCATTAATATGATAGCACACTTGTAGTGAACCCTTTGTTTGTTACAAATATACCTAGCTGGCCTATGACCCTTTTCAGTAGAAAAGCTATTCAGATGTTAAACTCATTAAAAAGTTAAAAAGCTATTCAGATGTTAAGCTCATTAGGGCCTTTGGCAATTAGTTTGAAGGTGTCCGATGAAAAAAAAAGGTAATATTAATGTAGTTTTAAAAAATATTTTAAGGGACTAGAAGATAGTTCAGCAGGTAAGGCGCTTACTGAGGTTCAAGCCCCAGCACCCTGTATGGACCCCCCAACCCTCACCGGTAGTAAGCAAGAGCTGAACATTGCTCGTTATGGCCCAAAATTCAAAAAAAATTTTTTGAAATAACATTTTGCAAATAAATGGCCAAAATCCACCTGATTAATCCTCTCAAATTTTACCAAGTTACCAGTACCTTTGTGTGATCATTTTATGGTTTGCAAGGCATGGCTTTTTGATATAGGAAATTCCAGAGCAAGGTAACATAATAATGTTCATATGTAACAGTAATAGTATGTAGAACATAGTCACAAATAGTCGCATAGAGGACTCCTGGGTATTTTAAATTTATGTGGTGGGCTTGACATTCAGCGCAAAAGGACAAAGTTGGGGAAACTGACTACAATGAAATGTGAAAGATAATTTTGTAGCACTGAGGTTCCCAAAGTTACTTGGCCTGGCCTATCACCCTTCCAGAAAAGAAATCATTCAGCTTCCCTGCCACTGCTACCACCTCCACCCCAACCCTTTGTTCTTCAAGCAAAGAACCCAGCAATTGAACCCAATTCTACTCCGATCCCCTCTCCCTTGACCATTCTAGCCTGGGAAGTTGGGGGTGCGGGGGGTGGGGGGGGCAATGGGGTCCACTTTGGGAAACACTGCTTTTGTAATGTTTTAAAGGTTATTAGCATACCTTTGAGTATTTTTAGAGTAGAAAGTACCGTTTCCCTTTGTAGAAGTCTCAAGACGTCCTGCTTTTCATTTAGATAAGATTTAGGAGCATAGATAAGAAATAAAGTAAAGGCACTGGCCTACATCTCAACATATGATGTGGGTATGTACTCTCCAGAGACACCTGGGTTTAGTTTTTTGTTTTGGAGCCACATCCAGCTGTGCTCCGGGCATACTCTTGGCTCTATGCTGAGGGCTCTCACTCCTGGTGCTAGGGTAGGGGGAGGGATTTGCAAGGCTAGAGATTAAACCCACATCTGTTGCATTCAAGTCAAGTGCCTTATACTATCTCTGGCTCATATTCTCTAGGCAAATTTCTCAATAGAAAATGACTAAGTTCTCCCAGGGTTAACCTCAAAGATTTATTCCATTTGATATTTTTCATGTCAAGCAGCAGATGTTTATCCTCTTTACTGAATGCCAAATGTGTCCTGATTTTTGAGGTTTCAAGTTGGCATAGAAGTCAGTTTACACATTTTCCTACTAATAATAAAAAGATATGTATAATCACATTGACAAATAAAAATTACAATACTTTAATATTTGCTAAAGATGATCAGCATGGGGCCAAAGCTGTAGAACAGAAGATAGATATTTGCCCTATGGCCATGCACATGGCCGACCTAAGTTGGATCACCATCACCCAACATGTTCCCCTGGGCCTGCCAGGAAGTGATCCCTGAGAACCATTGGGCGTAGCCCAAAAGCAAAAGAAAAAAATAATCAAGAGATCAGCATGATAGTATAGCAGGTAGGGCGTCTGTCTTGCATGCGGTCATCTCAGGTTCAATTTCTGATATCCCATATGGTCCCCTGAACACTGCCAGGAGTGATCCCTGAGTGTAGAGCCAGGCGTAAGCCCTGAGAACTGCTGGGTATATCTCAAAAACAAAGACTTCAAGGCGTGAGATTTAGTCTGAGCTCTAAAGAACAACTATAGTTGTGATAAACTTGGAGGTGAACATAATAGCCCAGCTTCATAATTGTTATTTAAGATTGCTAACAAGCCATGCTCACCAAAGCTTTTAAGTTGGGAAATCAGTGTAAGAGAAACAAATCTAAAGGAACCTTATATGCCTTTAGTGCTCAGGCCTTATTCCAAACTATGTACTCAGGAGGTCAAACTAGGGTTGGCAAGGCAAGTACCTTACCTCCTGTCTCTCTGGCCCAGTAACAGAACTTCAAATTAGTGACAAATCCTTTTAAGCTTCCGGCAGTTTTGAGGAGATACAGCACAAAGGAAAAAAAAAAGGCCAAAGGTTATAAATAATCAGAGGTTTAGAAGATGGTGATATTTATTTTTTAAATTACTGGCTAAAAAGTCATACCATCATAGGTATGACTATCACTGATATAACTTACTTAAAAACTTAGTTTGCAAATCCCTGAGACATTTTGATCTTTTGAGTCTCAATAAGGGTCTCCCCCAATTCTTAAATGTGAGCTGAGACTCATTACCAGATAATTCACACCTCAGTAAAGTTACATTTGCAATGTAAACAGTATCTTAAAGGATTAAAGGACCTGTAAGCCAAATGTAAATCTACAGCACCAAAGAGTAGTTTTTATTCTTTTTTTTTTTAAATCTGGTTTACCAGGGAAATGTACTTAAAATGCCTATTCTTGGGGTTGGAGACATAGTACAGGAGTTTAAGATGTCCACCTTGCATGCAGGTGACTGTTAAATCCCCAGCACATCTGGTCCCCTGAACCTGCCAGAGCTCACTCCTAAGCACCACTAGGTGGGCCTCCTGACCCACCCAAAATGCTAATTTTTAACTTCCACTTTAGACCTGCAGAATATGCATTTTAAAGATCAGATTATGGTTCAACTGGTAGAACATATACATGCCTTGCATGTACAAGGCCCTGGGTTGTACTGACACATTGTGCCCTGAACACCTGCAGTGGTCCCCACAACAAATAATAATAATAAAAAAATAGATGTGTTGCTGAAGATAGTATAACTAGTAGGGCTCTTGCCGTGTACGCTGTCAACCTGAGTTCAATCTGTGGTTCCCAAATGGTCTCCCGAGCATCACCAGGAGTGATCCTAAGTACAGAACTAGGGGTGAAGCTGAGCACCACTGTGTGTGGCCCAAAAACAACCCTCCACAAAGAATGCAAAAAATAGATGTGTTCCATGATTGTTTAAGCTACCTAAGCCCCCTTGCATGAAAAAAAAAAGTAACAATCAACTATCTTCATTATAAGAATCTTAGCAATAGCAATATTTGTAAAGTGCTAATAGAATATCTCTACCTCTGACATCACATGCCAACTTTAGAATTATTCTCTACCTGCACTCATGTGATAATTTCAGATTACTGATCCTTAGTTTTTTTTTTATTAGTGAAACACCATGAGGTACAGTTGTAGACTTACAATGGGTTTCAGTTATACAATGATCAAGTACCCATCCCTCCACCAGCACCCATCCTCCACCACCACGGGTCCCAGTATCCCTCCCACCCCCAATCCCCCCCATCCCTCCCTGCCTCTGTGGCAGGGCATTCCCTTTTGTTCTCTCTCTCCTTTTGGATTCTGTGGTTTCAAGGGAGGCATTGAGTGGCAATCATGTTTGGTCTATAGTCTACTTTCAGCATGCTTCTCCCATCCTGGAAGGATCCTCCTAAAACCCTTTATTTGGTGCTCCCTTTTCTATCTGAGCTTCCTTTTCCCCTAGCACGTGTGGCTGGCCTCCAAGTCATGGAGCAAAATTCCTGGTACTAATCTTGGCCACTCCTGGGTGTTAGTCTCCCTTTTTGTTACTTTATGTTCCCCAGATGAATGCAATCTTTCTGTGTCTATCCCGTTCTTTCTGACTCATTTCGCTTAACATGATACTTTCCATGTAGTACCACTTATATGTAAATTTCATGACTTCATCTTTTCTAACAGCTACATAGTATTCCATTGTGTAAATGTACCAAAGTTTCTTTAACCAGTCATTGATCCTTAGTTTCTTAACCAGACTAGGAAAATAAATTCTCAATAGATCTGCAGAGTCCCCAATAGGAATATACAAATGAATTCATCTTGGATTTTTTTCTTTCTTTTCCACTGCAGATCTGTGCTTTTCTTCTCTTACAAAAACACAACTTCCAACTGGGGTTGAACATAACAGCCCAAATGAAGAAAGATAAATCTACCCCTTTTCTTGACAATCTATCAAGGAGGACAAGATTTTGATGGTTAAGTGTTGGGGCTAGGTCAAGGGATGGGCTGAGTAATATTGCTCACGTCTTCAGCCTGTGAAGTCCTGAACGAAACAACAAAGCCCCAGCAACGCTCTCTCACTCTCCAAGTTAGGGCTAGACAGGGGCTAACTGTAGGTTCCATCACCCAATATGTGCTTAATCTCTGATGTTTCCACAAGGTGGATGCTTTGGAATGATAAGCCCTTACCCAGCCAGGAGGCATGTCATAATGAGGACACAAAGGAAAGAGACCTCATCTCTGCTTTCCACCGGGGATCCAGAGATCAATAGTCAAGCCATTCCTTCAATCCTATCATGTATGTTCTGGTCCTTTCGCATCTAAGAGATTTTGTGTGTTAAGGAAAACGGTCAAATCCCACTACACTCTGTGACCCTGAAAATGTTATTAAGCCCTTATATTCTATTTTTCCAAGTTCTTTTGAGGCTACTTTAAATTTACTTTATAGGTAAAAGCTGTTGAATTTATTTTGGTTTTGGGGCCAATCCGAGGGTATTCAGGGCTTACTCCTGGCTCTGCACTCACAGATCACTCCTGGAAGGAGTTGGGGGAACACATGGGGTGCCAGGAATAGAACCCAAGTCAGCCATGTGCAAGGCAAGCGCCCTTCCCACTGTATTGTTACTCCAGCACCCAATCCCAACCCCACCGAAGGTTTCTGAGGAAAGTAGCAATAAAAATTGCAAACCCCTTTCCCAAAAATGGCACACCCTCCAAAATAAAAACTAAAACAACAATAAATAGAATGATTTTTTATTTTTCCACTAAGAATTCTCAGTCTAAATTAGACAATATAAATTTGTTATACAACCCACTAGATGGATTTAAACTTTGACATCTAGTCATCTTCTTTTTTCTCTTGCAAATTCATCATCTCATTTTGTACCTATCATTTACATATCACTTACTCTTTCAAACATCATCTCTCAGACTTATCTTACTTGAATTAAACTTATTTAGAGCACTCCCAAACTTTGTCATTTTGACGATACATCCTAAAGTATTATTTTTCTCACTTGTATCTATGAAGATGTTCCACAAAGAAACAATTTGTACATGTCCCTAAAATGAAAGATCAGTATATTTAATGGCTATGTTAACCTCTTAAAAGTACAGAAAAAAATTTCATGTTAATAGAAATGATAATGAACTACTATTCACCACTGCCTAATGCTTAAAATATTGTATTCAAAAACTCAAATGGCTTCAAGTAACTCATTATCTCCTTTCCTTTTCTCATTTCAACTCCATATACATATAAAGAAGAAATTCAACCAACTTTCCTTACCTAAAAAAAAATTAAGAGGCTAAAAGGCATTATTTAGGACTTTTCAGACCTTGGGACAGTTGTATTTCCAATATTCACTTAAATTATAAATTAGTTTTATCCTGTGACATCGCTTCAATTCAAGTGCATCATGGTTAGTTATATTAGTTTTCTATTTCATCTTATCAAGTCCGATGAGGATTGTCTGCATCAAGGCTTTTGTTCTGGATATCTTCTGCAAAATTTTTAGAAAAAGATAAGCAAACATTACAAAGGAACGAATTAAATAGGATTCTAGGTAATAGCAAATTTCATTTTCTGAAGAATTTAATCCAAATACTTAGCTCTGATAAATTACTTTTTCTTAATGAGTAGCATTTCCTTCAGAAAATATCAAAATTTCCCTCTTAGAACACCTTTCAATATGCAAATCTTAATTATCATATATTACTTATTAAATGAGTGATATATAATAAATTTGTATCACCAGATCTATATTTTCTCTATATGCTTCAAGAAATCTTTTTTGACAATTCACGTATAAAACTAAAAAGAATTACAGGGGACAGAAAGAGTGTACACCTGGCCTTACACTCAGGTGGCCCAGGTCCAATTCCAAGAACAATGTGTTATCCCCAGGAGTGATCCCTGAGCACAGAAACAGGAGCAAGTCCTGAGCACAGCTGGGTGTGCCCCTCCCACCCCCACCCCCCAAATTATAATTAACTATATATCCATCATACAACTTTTTTTAAATTTTTTGCTTCGTCTTTTGTCTTTGGGTCATATCTGGTGATGCTGAGGGATTACTCCTGGCTCTGCGCTCAAGAAATTACTCTTGGTGGTGCTTGGAGAACCATATAGAATGGCTCCCCCAAGGATCAAACCTGGGTTGGCAGCATGTAAGGGAAATGCCTACCCACTATACTATCTCTCTGACCCCATTCATCACACAACTTTAATAATCATTATTAATTACTATCAACTGAGCACTGTTACCTAAAAACATGGTGTTTACATTCTAACCACAGTGCCTTACTTGGAAACAGAGTCACAGCAGATACAGGCATTAGGATAAGGTCATTATGAAGTAGTCTGACTCTTTATTATACAAGATTTTATATACTATGGACAAAGGAGAATGTGAAACATTCTCTGCTATATAAAATCAATGGCAAAGATTACAAAGTGATGCCACAAGCATTTACATTAAGGATTGATAAGGATCTTCCTCTTTTGACATTACAGGGACCAGTAGCCCATGTCATCACTTCAGATTCTGGCCTCCAGAACTGATCTCAGAGATAATTATTTTGAGCCAGAGCAGTAGTATAGTGGGTAAGGCACTTGCCATGATCACATCCAACCACGATTCAGTCTCTGGCACCCCATATGGTCCCCAGAGGGGGCTAGGAGTATTCCCTGCATGCAGAGCTAGGTGCAGCCCCAAAACAAAACAAACCAAAAAAAAGTTGAAATAATCTGTCACCTAATCAATTTGTAGTGCTCTGTTATGTCAACCCTGGAAATTTAATATACTTATCTATCATATTTTTGACACTCCCCAAATTTATTTCAAGAGAGATCTCATACAATGTTACAAGAATGGTATTTTAAAATATTTCTCAGCTTGGTCCTAAAGACTGTGTTCTCTGTGTGCTGACAGTAGACTATGGGCTGAACACGATGACCACTTAGTACCCATACAGTAAACCATAACACCCAAAAGGAGAGAGAGAATAAAAGAGAATTAAAAGAGAATGTGCCTGCGGGGCGGGGGTGGAGGGGTGGCAGCAGGAGGGATAGTGGGAACAGGGTTTTGGAGAATGGAGAATGGGCACTGGTGGGGGGGAGGGGTAGGCTGTTCTCCCATGAACACATACCCCACTTGCTTGCGCCTTTGCTTGCTTCTTTCTGCTCTGGAGAAGCCCATGTTCTTTCTCAAACACATCTTTCTAAATAAATTTCAATAAAAACTTTTCCGCCTCACCAAAAATAAGTAAAATGTTTCTCAGCCTTTAGAACGATCATGATTTTAGCAAATATTTAAATAAGATTTACTTTCAATATTCTGGGTTGTTTTTTGTCTTTGGCTTTTGTTTTGTTTTGTATGTGTGGCTTTGGGATCACACCCAGTGGAGCTCAGGACTTACTGGCTTTGCACCTAGGGATCACTCCTGGTGGATTGCAGGGGACCACATGGGATGCAGGTGTAGGTGGAACCACGTTGGCTGCATGCAAGGCAAACACCTTGTCCATTGTACTATTGCTCCAGCCCCTCATTTTCAATGTTCGGTATTACAAAAAGGGACAGGTTTCAGTTTGGGGTTTTGTTTTCTTCCCTGTTCATATCATTATAAACTATATAGACATCACAAAAGGCTCAGTAGTCGTCCATTCTTCTCATTCTAGCTGAATGTCTATGTTGTCATCTTAACAACAAAGATCATATAACATTTGTTGCATACTACTTTTGCGAGAAATAAGAGAAAACTACAATAGGTCAATATGCACAGGTCAAGTTCATTCTTACCTTCTAAATTAGACAATTCACGAGGACTACATGGAATCGTAGAGCTCCATCTCTGTTCCACTGGAGAAAACTTAATTAGTGGTGAAAGAGACCGTTTTCTTTCACCAAGGGACATACGTAAAGGTTTTGTACAGGCAATATGCAAATCTTTAGAGTCCAAAATATCAAGTTTCTCTCCTGTTTGTGTATTCGGAGGAGTAGAACTCAATTCTAATTTGTGCCTTTCAAATGTTTCCAGGTTAGAAAGGTCAGTTTCTTTCCTTTTCTTGGACAGAGACTTTTTTAGAACCTCATATCTACTGCATATAGCCTGAAAACGTGAGTCAAATTCCGGAGTAGTTTGTCTTTCACCTGAAGCATCTTCTGGGAAAACGTTGCTGGGCATAGGACTATTTGGGTCCAATTTAAAACTGGCCTCTGTAGTACTGGAGCTATTTAGACTTAAGTGACCCACTTCTTCTGGAAGAGTCTCATGCAATATGCCAAAATCAGTATCTCTTAAACCAGAACTAACTCCCCATGGTATTTGAAAAGAGTTCCATAACATACTTTTATGTGTGGAAGGTTCTTGATAGGCTTGTGAACAGTCCAATATTTTAACATACGCCTCTTCACTGCTACCCGTCAGATCTATTCTACTGCCTATAGCAGGGGAGAATGACTGACTTTGGCTAGTTTCTGAAAGTTTCTTCTGTGAAACTGTACATTTCAAGTCTTGCTTGCCCATTTTTTTCTTGGTTAGCAAGTCTGAAGCATCTGGTGTTGCTGACTGACTTATGTCACTGGTCACACTCTTCAGGCAATCTGAAACAATGTTCTCTTCAAGGAAATGAGACTGGCTAGTGTTTGATTCAGTGGTCGTTGAGAGAAAACAGGCCAAGCTAAATTCTCTTGGATTATGTAACTCTGGTGAAGATTCTGACAATACTTCTCCATGTTGTTCAGTATCCTCTTGAAATAATTCTGTATTTCCATTATTCCCCATTTCAACAGCCTTTCTCCACGAGCTCCTAATTTCACTTACTAATTAAGAAAGGAAAAATACAATTACTAATACTCCCAAACAGTGAATGCATTAAACGTTTTGTTGCTAATGCTGGAGTTACTTGTTACATATCTATTACATATGATATCGTACATAAATCCACCACTTAGATGGCAAGGCTCTGCTACACAGCAAAGTTCAGCACCAAATGACTCCACCTCCAACTAATCACACATATGGACACAACAAAATACAAAAGCTGTTCTCGAAATATGCATATACTTCTGTACAGCATACACTGTGATTCTTTTAACCACTATTAAAAGAATTATTTTATTTTCAGGGAAAGGAGGGGAAAAGAGATGGAGAGAGGAAGAGAAAGAAGGAGAGGAATCACCTAATGGGCCGTTGAAACAGTTCAATGGGTTGAGTGTATATTTCACATACAGGAGCCCCATATTCAATCCCTTGCATCGCAAAGTCCCAAGGGCACCGATGGGAGTGACCCCAAGCATAAACCCAAAGTAGCTCCTGAGCACTGCCAGGTCTAGCACCAAAACAAAAACAAAAAGTTTCTTATCCATCTATATCAGGGTCTAGCTGTAAAGGGCCATGGAGTCATTATTTTAGACTTTGCAGTCCATCCAGTCTGTTGCAACTACTCAATTCTGCCGTTGTAGCATAAAAACAGCCTTAAAGAATCTGTTGGAAAATGACTAAGCTTGTGTTTATTAAAATTTACTTTATAAGAACACATAGGATGTCAGATGGGAGCAGGCATCCTCTCTCCGCCTCCACCAGATGAACCCTGGCAACCCCAAACCTCCAGAAACCAATCGGCGCCACCCTCACGATCTTCATAGGCTCGTCCTGCCCCCCCCCCCGCCCCCCCCCCCCCCCACACACACACAAGAGAATAAATCCGCTGAAAAATCCAGGTATGCGGGACTAGTGACTGAAAATGCCAGGCCTCAAGGGGTCAGGACTGGGTCATCCCTTCCCATCTCCCTGCCCTTCTGGGGTCCTGGCTGCCATGCCCACAAACTGCCTCCAGGTGCCATTTAAACACTTTAACAGCCATGATCCAAAGACTCACAAATGAATCTCGGAACGAAGCAGCTGGCAGCAGAGATCCCTCTGGACCCCAATTATCTTGATATCTCATATTAGTTTTTTTGTTGTTGTTGTTGAATCACTGTGAGATAGACCCTTACAGACATGTTATACTATTCATAACAAGCAGTACAAATAAATGATCTTGCATCTTCCTGTGGGGCAAGCTTGAGTGGTAATAAGACACTTCAAAATAATGGTGGTGGGAAGGTGTAATGATGGTGGAATTGGTGTTGAAATACTGAATGGAATCAATGATTATGAACAACTTTATGAAAATAAAATGTAAAAATTTAAAAAAAAAAAGCACATAGGATGGAACAGCTTTATTTGCAGACTATTGTTTGTTTAGCAGGTCACTGATCTTCATTGGATAAGATTCAAGCTGAATTAAACCATCAAGTAAACATGTCATTTCTAGCAGCAAAATAGTAATTACATTTAATCATTCAACCAGAATGATGTGCCTACATAAAGAGAAAAGTATCAGAACTTTAGTTACACATATTAAAGGTCATAAAAAAAAAAAGGACAGTCTGGGAGCTGCCCTATACTTTTGCACTAGCCTGGGAGAGGTACAAGAGATGCTATATAAACAAAATTCTGACTAAAAATTGGGAGAAAATAGCCTCAATATGATATTACAAACATTAGTCATAGGTCAGATGTTGGAGGGACGCCAACCGCTCGGGGGTCGCATAACTAGTTAGCATGCCAGAGTCTCGTTCGTTATTGGACTAGACAAATCGCTCCACCAACTAAGAACGGCCATGCACCACCACCAGGAATCAAGAAAGAGCTATCAATCTGTCAATCCTGTCTGTGTCCGGGCCAGATGAGGTTTTCCGTGTCTCCCTCCATTATCCCCACTACCCAGCCGCCTCCACGCTCCAGGCCTCTTTCCAGACACTCGGGCAAAGACTCATGCAGAGACTCATGCATGACTGACGCCCCACAAAACCAGGTAAAGCAGAACTCTGTGATCTTGGACTCCAGGCTCAACAGGACCGGGAAATAGAGATCCTCTGCCTGCTCCCCCAATCTCCAGAGACCCAGGGATTAAACCCAGAAGCCCCACCCTACCTTGCCCTGCCTGCTTCCACCAATCTCCAGCGACCCAGGGATCACATCCAGAAGCCCCACCCTACTAGTACCAGATAAATACCTGATTGGCAGACCTCCAATACCTCCACTACGCAGCGGCCATCACGCTCCAAGCCACTTTCCGGACACATCATAAGACACTTAATACCCAGCTTCCAAGATTACCACACCAATTTTGATGGGGTTCAAATATGGTTTGAACCATGGGAACACCTGCAAGGGCAATTAGAGGCCACCCTAAAAGCTTCTATCACTCTCAGAGAGCCTGGCAACCTACCGAGAGTATTCCGCCCGCATGGCAGAGCCTGGCAAGCTATCTGTGGCGTATTCGATATGCCAAAACAGTAAATACAATGGTTCTCATTCTTCTAACCCTGAAAGAGCCACCAATATGGCAGCATTAAGAAGGATGAGGAAGGAGAGGCTGATAAAATCTCAAGGACGGAGCTGGAGAGATAGCACAGCGGGTAGGGCATTTGCCTTGCACGTGGCCGACTCGGGTTCGATTCCCAGCATCCTATATGGTCCCCTGAGCACCACCAGGAGTAACTCCTGAGTGAAGAGCCAGGAGTGACCCCTGTGCATCGCCGGGTGTGACCCCCAAAAAAAAGCAAAAAAAAAAAAAAAAAACTCAAGTACGAACTAGGCGGCCAAAATGAAGGAAAAAATGACTGTCTGTACATTCAATGTACATACACTGGCATCGCATGCATCTATCGAGGACCTGATGGTGCAAGTGCGAAAGATCAAGTACAACATCACTGGTCTGACCGAGACGAGAAGGCATCAACCACATCATTCCATTTTCGACACTAGAGAAGAATTGTTGTGCTCAGAACATGCGACAAAAGAGGCATCAGTGGTGTTGCTGTCCTTGTCAACACGAACTTGGCCATGAGCATTGATTCATTTGAATGCCTAACAACCCGAATTAGACGATTACACTTGAATAGATGTGGCTCACTGCTGGCAGTTTCTATCATCGTTGTCTATGCACCAACATCCAATTATGATGAAGAAAAAATTGAGGAGTTCTACATGGAGCTGAAGAAGTCCTATAAAGAAGACCACACCTTCTACAAGATCACTGTTGGTGATTTTAATGCCAAGATAGGACCAAGAAAATAAGCTGAAGAACTCCACATCAGGACCCATGGCCTAGAATGGAACGAACAGGGTGAGAGACTGAGTTCATCGTGTCGACCAAGACCATCCATGGTAACAAATAGTTCCAGAAGGCCGAATCTAAACGCTGGACATGGGAGTCTCCCGGTGGACGGTTCCACAACGAAACTGACCACATCATATTCAATCAACAGTTTTGCCTGACCAATGTCGCTGTTGTCCCAAAATTCCAAATAGGATCGGACCACCGTCTCTGTGAAAAATTCTACTTCATGGAGCGGAGAGAAAGGGCTGCAAAGTTTAAGAAGAGAACGACCACCAACTGGGAGCTCTTTGGCACTATTACAGCAACATGGAAGATGCCATTGTTGACAACATTGACGAAGAATACAATTGACTGGTGGTTCAGCACCTCCATGACTGTGCGAGGTACACCGAGAGAGAGCCACAAAAAGACACCTGTCTTTGAAAACTCTCGAGCTCATTCGCCAACGTGGCTTGGCACGAGCCTCAGGCAACCGCAAGCGAACATCCGAACTCGCAGTGCAGAGAAGCAATAACGGAAGACCTCAAAGAGAGAAGAGCAGCAGTGCTGACCAATGTGGCAGAAGCTGGGAAAAGCATTTGCAACACCCGCCTGTCCTTCACCAACTACAAGACCAAGATGACTGCCCTCCGACATCCTGATGGATCTATCACATCTTCCAGAAGGACGATGGAGAAGGTTATCCGTGACTTCCACTTGGATCTCTTCAATAGCCATATCCACCACCTGACCACATATCAGATGCTGCAGGATAAATATGTAATTCCTAGCGTTGTCCCATCTGAAATACGGCATGCTATTTTGTTGGTAAAGAAGCATACAGCACCCAGTCCAGATAAGGTTAGACCTGAACACCTGAAGAATCTGCTGCCACTACTCATCAATACACTGGCTTGGCACTTCACACACTACCTGTCTGAATGCAACGTTCCATCCCAATGGAAAACCAGCAGGACCGTTCTGTTGTACAAGAAGGGAGACATCCACAACATTAGCAACTATCGCCCGATCTGTCTGTTTTCTATTGTCTATGAGTTGTTCACTCGAGTCATCCTGAACAGGATTGGCAGAACACTAGATGAAGGACAACCATGTGAGCAAGCCGCAAAGGATTAAGCACGATCGACCATATCCATGCGGTAACCAAGCTCATTGAGGTTTCTCGGGGTTCAAGATGCCACCCGGTCTAATGTTCATTGATTTAAAGAAGGCCTTTGATTCTGTTGAGACTGAAATGGTCATCAAAGCCCTAGCCAAATAGGGCGTTTAAACTCAATACATCAGGATCCTCTGTGAACTGTATTATGGATTCACTACCAGGATCTCAACATTCTACAAGGAAGAATGACATTCTACATGTCATCATCCATGTCAAGAGAGGGGTTCAGCAGGGTGATACCATTTCACCGAAACTCTTCAGTGTCACCCTCGAGAACGTCATGCGACAGCTGGAATGGGAAGAAATGGGAGTGAAGATAGACAGTCAGCAACTACACCACCTCTGCTTCGATGATGACATCATCCTAGGAAGACCAAACATTAGCCAAGCGGCACAAATGCTGACCGACTTCAACCGTGAGAATGGAAAGGTCGGACTACAGCCAAATCTCACGGAGAAACTGTTTATGAGAAACAGTCTCGTTCCTGACGTTCCATTCGGTCTCAACGGAACAAACATCTCTGAATGCAACAGTTATGTATACCTAGGTCAAGAAGTCAACATGACGAATGACCTGGCACCTGAGTTGTGCAGGAGGAAGAGAGTGGCTTGGAACACCTACATGAGCGTCGAAGAAATAGCTAAGAGGACGAAGAACCTCTGGCTCTAGGCACACCTCTTTGATTTCACTGTTCTTCCTGCATTAACATAAGCCTCAGAGACCTGGGCCTACGAAAACAGGATGAGAACACTATTCGGGTCTCCCAAAGAGGAATCAAAAGAGCTATGCTTGAAGTATCACGCTTCTCTCAGATGAGAGAAAGAATCCGGAGTACCAACCTCCGTTGATGATCGAGAATCAGGGATGCTGTCTCATTTGCAAAGGCATTGAAAGTCAGATGGACTGGACACGTAATGAGATTTGGAGACGACTGCTAGACTAGAGCCATTATGGACTGAATTCCATGGGACATCAAAAGATCGTAGGGCTGGAGCGATAGCACAGCGGGTAGGGCGTTTGCCTTGCATGGCCAACATGGCCGACCCGAGTTCGATTCCTCCGCCCCTCTCGGAGAGCCCGGCAAGCTACCGAGAGTATTCCATATGCCAGACACAGTAACAACAAAGTCTCCAATGGAGACGTTACTGGGCCCGCTCGAGCAAATCGATCAAAAGATCGTGTGGCCGCCCACCTACGAGATGGTCAGACTTCTTCGTCAAGACCCTGAACGATCGGTTTGAGGCTCTTTATGTTCCCAGAACAAGCAAACGCCATTGGGCTACACTAGCACACAACAGGGACGAATAGTGACGTTACTGGCGCCCGTTCGAACAAATCAATGAGTAATGGGATGCCAAGTGATCAAATGATCAAGGTCAGATGTGGAGAGCAAATTTTTCTAAAAAATAATCAGGTCGAATATTTTCTATGAAAAAAATCCAAACAATAAAAACAAAATTGCAATGTATCAGGGCAAAATGGTCCAGAGCGCTAGCACAGCAGGTAGGGCTTTTTCCTTGCACGTGGCCAACCCAGCCGACCCGGTTTCAATTCCTCCACACCTCTTGGAGATCCCAGCAAGCTACCGAGAGTATCTTGCCCGCACGGCAAAGCCTGGCAAGCTACCCATGTTGTATTCAATATGCCAAACACAGTAACAAGTGTCACAATGGAGACGTTACTGGCCCACTCAAGCAAATCGATGAACAACGGGAGGACAGTGACAGTGACAAGTGACAGTGAGTGTACACATTAAAAGCTTCAATGAAAGTCCTTTATACCAGAACAAGTAAAGACCCACAGCCACCAAACTGTAAGACACCAAGTTTAGGGTTTTGTTCTGTTTCCACAGAAATATATTTTTATTAAGGTAACAATAAAAAATATAGCTTACAGTGTAAACACTTGTTTTAGGTTACCTCACCACACCTACCACCAAGGTATCTCTTCGCCACAGTACTACACAACTTTCAGATCTCTCCCCTCTGCAGTTTCAGAGCCCAAGGATGTGTTAGAAAAGAGTTCGAAAATGAGTTCCTTGAAGACTTTTCAGATCATGGTTCTGACTGTAGTCAAGCTTAACAAAGAAAATAAGGCTAGAGTGCATTAACTTACTCAAGTTTTCTGGTGTTCGGGGTATTTCTTTCCTTGATAAGAATGGGTTAGAAACTAGAGAATCAATTAGGTCCTCTAATTTTATTTCTTTTCCTTCAGCTGATTGTGGTGAATCAGATAAAACTGCCCTGGCAACCTAAAAGAGAAAAGTTTTAAAAAAAAAAATTCTTTTTAGAATTGGACTTGATAAGAACATTAAATACTTTTTTTTTTTTTTTGAAACACAATGAGGTACAGTTGTAGACTTACAAGTTGCAGTGCTTGGGCTTCACTTATACAATGATCGAGTACCCATCCCTCCACCAGTGCCCATTCTCCACCCCTACCAATCCCAGTATCCCTCCCACCCCTCCTGTCCCCCATTCCACCCTGCCTCTGTGGCAGGGCACTCCCTTTTGTTCTATCTCTCCTTCTGACTGCTGTGGTCTGCAGAAGAGACATTGGATGGCAATCATGTTCTCTCTACAGACTACTTTCAGCATGCATCTCCCATCCTGGGCGGATCTTTCCAGCACCTTTATTTGGTGTTCTCTTCTCTATCTGAGCTGCCTTTGCCCCTACAGTGTGCGGCTGGCTTCTAAGCCATGGAGTGAACAACCTGGTATTTATCACAGCTGCTCTTGGGTGTTAGTCTCTTATTTTGTTGCTTTATGTTATCCAGATGAATGCTATCTTTCTATGTCTGTCCCTCTCTTTCTGATTCATTTCGCTTAGCATATTTCCCATGTAGTACCACTTGTATGTAAATTTCATGACTTCATTTTTTCTAACTGCTACATAGTACTCCATTGTGTAGATGTACCAAAGTTTCTTTAACCAGTCATCTGTTCTCAGGCTCTCAGGTTTTTTCCCGTATGCTAGCTATTGTAAAGAGTGCTGCAATGAACAAACAGGTGCAGATGTCACTTCGACTATACTTTTTTGCCTCTCTGGGGTATATTCCCAGGAATGGTACTGCTGGGTCAAATGGGAGCTCAATTTCTAATTTTTTGAGAATTGTCCATACTGGTTTTCCAAAAGGGTTGAACCAGTCGGCATTCCCACCAGCAGTGAAGGAGGGTCCCTTTCTAGCCACATCCGCGCCAACACAGGTTGCTTTTAAGAACAGTAAATACTTCTTAATCAACAGTCCTTCCCATAGCAGATGACACCAAAATAGGTTCAGTGATATAGCGCCTAGACATTCTACATAGAATACCAGGCATTATACTGGTGAAACCAAATATAAAATTGGTTTCCTCCCAAATGGATAATTATTACAAAGGAAAAGATGAGAATCTTTATATTTGGTAAGATTTGAAGGTAGTTCTGACAGCTTGCCAACCTAACATACTATCAACCATATCTGTAAACTTGACAACACTATATTCAATATAGGAACTAGTTTTTTTTTTAATTTAGGCACCATGATTCACAACATTATGCTAATATTAATATTGATTATATTAATATTATGCAATGTTGCAGTGTCACTATACTACATACCAATGCCAATACCTCTATGAAACTCAGTAGGAAAATGACCAGTTTTAAAGGCAGCAGATTTTTTTTTTTTTTTTTTTGCTTTTTGGGTCACACCCGGCGGTGCTCAGGAGTTACTCCTGGCTCATGCACTCAGGAATTACTCCTGGCGGTGCTTGGGGGACGATATGGGATGCTGGGAATCGAACCTAGGTAGGCTATGTTGGCTGCGTGCAAGGCAAACACCCTACCCGCTGTGCTATCACTCCAGCCAAGGTAGCAGATTCTTAATTATAATCAATTATACACAAAGCAAAAGTATAGCCAGTAGTGCTTCTGCCTTGTACATGGTCGATCTTGGTTTAATTCCCAGCACCTCATATAGTCCCCAAAGTTCTTCAGGAGTGATCCCTGGGTGCAGATTCAAGGGTTAGTCATGCACACAGCTGGGTCTAGCCCCAAAACCAAAAAAAGAAAAAGAAAATCACTCCATATTAACAGAACTTTAATAGAAATAGAAAAAATGCAAAATTAAACATCTGCCCCCTAAAAAGTAAACTTTCTACAACTAAGTGATGTTAACCTTGTCTCAAAATAACAGGCTTCTTAAAACTCACACTAAATATCAGAGAAAACAAAGAGAATTTCACTTTATTTTCAGAGTTTTATGAGATTTTTCTTTTTTATTTTTGTGCATGGCGGGGGCAGGGGGTAAGGGGCACAGAGTTACGCTTGGCTCTGTGCTCAGGGATCACTCCTGCTAGTGTTCCAGAGGCCATTTATAGTAGCATTCCCATTTGGGCCTGGCAGAACGGCTCCCACAAAAAAGGATGTGCCAAGGATGGAATGATAATACAGTGGAAAGGGCCTTGCATGCGGCTGATCCGGGTTCTATCCCCGGTATCCTATTCAGTCTCCTTAACACTCCCAGCAGTAACTCCTGAGTGCAGAGCCAGATGTAACCCCTGAGCACTGCTGGATATGGTTCAAAAATAAAGCAAAACTATAAAAGGGCATGGCATCAACAAGTTTAGCAATCAAGTTTATCCACACTCACAGTGCATCAAGAGACTAGGTTTCAAGGAGCACCACAGGCAAAGAGATCTATAAATTTGCTACAAAGGAAATGGGTACTCTAGATATGCAAAGTAACATCAGGTCCAACACACTTGCATGAGCAAAAGGAATAAAGAATATCCTATACTATATCAACAAACATAAAGAGGATGAATATTCACCACACACGCTTTATATGCGGTTTATTTATGTGCCTATCACCATTTTCAAAAATATACAGTCAATGTAGATGGCAACTAACTACTGTCCTCAAATTGTAGAATTTCACTGAAGCAGAGGCTTAATTTTTTTCAATTTTTTTGGTGTACTTCACCTCCAAAATGAATTACACTGTCAAAATTATAAAAAATAACTAATAGTAATTTACTGTACTTCACTAATAATACAAACACCAATGAGGATATGAAACAGATATTTCAGCATAGTTATGTAATCTTTCCTAACCTCTTCCACCAGATGATCTTGCTCTTTTTGGAATGGATCACGCTTTTTAGCTGGTACAGACCCTCCAAAAGCACTACTCTCTATAGTCTTCGCAGTATTTGATGATACAGAGTCTTCCTCTTCAAATTCTGGTGTTTTTTTGGAAATGGTTTCATGCTTCTCTCTAGGAGTGCTTATTTTCATGTCCTAAAGAATACAGACATGGGATATTATATATACATATGACTATTAACAAATGTTATGTTTGGCTATTAACATTAATGCTATGTATGGTTACTAATACTAAATGTCATGATTATGGCTACTAATATTAAAAGTTCTTCAGTTTTCAGAAACCTATAAAAATATATTAACATTATTATAGGAAATACATTAATTCCATAATAATAAAAGCAATAGCAAACATAAAAATGGCATATAAGGTACAAATACTGAATATAAAAAATGGAAATCAGACTATCAACAAAAATAATAACACATACCAGTATGAGGGAATATACAAAAAATGCTTTAAAACATACCTTTTCAAGTAATGTAATGCTCTTTCTATCTGCCAAATTTGGCTGCAAAAGAGAAGCAGAACTAAAACAAAAAAAGATAAACTCAAATATAAGTAAAAAATAATTCTATCTGAATAGTCTTTAAAGAACTGTCTGCCCCGTATCTGTCCGTTACGATTTCACTCAATTCGTCCCGGTCATCAAAAGGCAGTTTGTTTTGGGGAGGTATGGTGACAATCAGAGCACTACTTCAGCCCAATTTGTGTATCAGCCTCCCAAACCACAAATATTTTTATACTTATATATTTTAAGCTGCAACTAGTATGCACTCAAAAACTTGAAACAGAATTGCATAAATTGTCCTCGTGCTTCAAATTACAAAAATTCATTGTAGCTGACACTTAAAAGATTCTTTTGTGTACTTCCCCTCCAAAATCAATTTCATTTATGCTGAATCTTGTACTCTACAGCAAAACAAAATATATAATTTCAGTTGATAAAAAATAATATAAAACATTATAACAAGAGAAAGAAATGAAGGTCAGGGAGATTACTCAAAGAGCTGGAGTGTCTAATTTTCATGTGGGAGGCCTGGTTTTGATTTCTGGTACTACACAGTCCCCAGGACACCATGCCAAAAGTAACTCCTGAACCTTCCAGGTGTGGCCCAGCTCCCCCACCCCTGAATAAAATATAAAAATATAAAATTCAATTTCTAAAACTAAGGGTGAACAGCTGCCATTCATGCTAGAATATACTGTAATAACCTTTGAAATGTAAAGAAAAAACTAAAAGGTAAAGGTCTGGAAAACCACGGAACCACAAGAAATCCAGTTTCAAATCACTGAATTCCAGTTTCAAACAAGGTGAAGGGCTGGAGCAATAGCATGGGGGTAGGGCACCTGCCTTGCATATGTCTGACCGGAGTTCGATGCCCAGTACCAAATATTGGCACTCCCACATAGCACTGCCAGGAGAGATCCCTAACCATTGATGGGTATGGCCCAAAAACTAAAATCAAAGAAAAATGGAGAGTTCCTAGATTTCTAATTATGTCAACAGTTACAAGGGGTTTCAACAGGATTCATAAATATATCATGGCAAACCTTCTTGGCTGGTGTTAAATAGTTTTGCCAACATTTTATAATCCCCATAAACGTGAAGGGAGGAAGGGTGGGAAGGAGGAAGTAAAGGAGGAGGAGGAATAGGCTCATTCCACTTTGTTACAACCTGCTTTCCACCCGGAGCTATGTGATTTCTTTATAAAAAAACTTCTTACTTTAGTGGGTTTCCTTCTCTCATACTTCCCTAAATAAAACTATTTTACTTCAAAAAATAAAGGAAAAAAATCAATATGTCAGAAATTTTGACTCTCTTTAAAATGTGAATTTAGAAGCAGAAAAACAGTTCAACAGTAGAAAACTACCGGGGGGGGGGGGGGGCGGGGGGGAGAAAATTATGGAATACCCCATAGCAGAAAGACTTAGAAAATGGCTGAAAATGAGACTATAATAAATGAGGCAGAGAGGAATCAACAGAAAAGTCAAATTCAGGGAGGTAGGGGCAATAATACAGCAGATGTTTGCCTTGCACATCCCAGGTATGATCCACTGAGCTGCACCAGGAGTGAATCCTGAGGACAAAGTCAGGAGAAACCCCTGAGAATTTTTGAGTGTGGCAAAAAAAAAAGTCATATTTTCTGAGATTGGGCCCTTAATTCTAGGCCCAGGCCACATGGCCCCACTTTCCCTATTTTACATAGCGCATTTGCCTTGTACGCGGCCCACCTGGCTGAGCCGGGTTTGATTCCTCCGTCCCTCTCGGAGAGCCCAGCAAGCTACCCAGAGTATCTCACCTGCACAGCAAAGCCTGGCAAGCTACCCGTGACATATTCGATATGCCAAACAGTAACAAGTCTCACAATGGAGACGTTACCGGGCCCGCTCGAGTAAATCGATGAACAACGGGAGAACAGTGCTACAGTGCTACATTATGCCATCATCAAGCTCCCTCTGAACCCTGTCAGCCATAAAGAAGAGAGGCAGTTAAGACACCTGTGTTCACTGTGGATGTCAAGGCCAACAGCACCAGGCCGTGAAGACACTCTGGGACACTGATATGGCCAAGATCAACACCCTAATGAGACTGACAGAGAGAAGGCATATCTTTGGATGGCTCCTGACTCTGAGTCCTTGCATGTTGTCAACTATATTGGGAACATCTGAACAGTCAGCTGACTAAGCCTAAATGTAATTTTCTCACCTTAACAACAACAACAACAACAACAACAACATCAACAAACCCAGAAAAGTCAAAATTTTTTACCTGTCGGCTAGATCACACACAGTTCCCAGTATACGATTGGTTATTGTGCAAGCTTTTTCTTGATTTTGTTGCATAGGTGTATCTAAAGATACAGAAAATTATTCTTTAATTATACCTACAACATTAAGAAATCTCTTGAGGGGCTGGAGCAATAGCACAGAGGGTAGGGAGTTTGCCTTGCACACAGCTGAACCGGGTTCAATTCCCAGAATCCCATATGGTCCCCTGAGCACTGCCAGGGGTGCTCAGTGATTACTCCTGGCTCTATGCTTGGAGATAACTCCTGGTGGGCTCGGGATATCACAGGGGGTGTTAGGAATCAAAACCAGGTCAGCTACATGCAAGGCAAACGCCCTACCTACTGTACTTTCGCTCTGGTCCCAATACAAAATTAAACTCTTAAAAGCAAAGAAAGATTTAAAAAAAAAAATTACCTACAGGAGACTGGAGTACAATGAGTAGAGAGCTTGCCCCTGAACTCAAGTGGCCCAGATTCGATCCACAGTACCCCATATGGTTCACCAAGCCCTCCAGAAATGATACCTAAGCACAGAGCCAGGAGTAAACCTTTAGCACAGTGGTGTAGTCCAGAAATAAAGACAAGAAATGTTTCAAGGACGCTGGAGCAATAGCACAGCGGCTAGGGCATTTGCCTTGCACACAGCCGACCAGGGTTCGATTCCCAGCACTCCATATGGTCCCCCAAACACTGTCAGGAGTAATTCCTGAGTGCATGAGTCAGGAGTAACCCCTATGCATCACTGGGTGTGACCCAAAAAGAAAAAAAAAATTTCAAAATACCTACAGGATCAGAGAGGCAGCTTAAAGTGAATGCTTTGCATGGAGGAGACCTGGGTTCAATCCCAAGCACCTCATGGTTCTCCAAGCACCACTGGGAACAATCCCCCGGCACAGCGCTGGGAAAAGCCCTCATCAGGGAATGGTCCATAAACAAAACAAAAAACTGCCTAAAAATGGAAGGGCACTAGACCAACAACAAAAAAATCTCAAAACAAACATAAGGCAAACGTATCATCAACGTCTTGTGTTCAATCCCTGGCACCACAAAAACAATCACAATACTAATAGCAGAAAAGAAATTAAAAAAGGCTGTAAAGAAACAATTATAGTAATATTGATGAAAGGGAAGTATAAAGGAGAAAAAAATAACAAACCTGGAAGCAAAGCAGGATACTGAGTAAGAATACTCCGTGCATAAACTTCTTCAGAGGCAGGATCAAATGAAAGGGGAGACATAGGCGGTAAAAGATCCACAGCCTAAAAACAGAATTATAATTATGAATTACACACATTTGCTAACAGTAATATAAGTTAATGTACGAGTAGGTGGCTTTAAATTTTTCCCAAACATGATTTATCCTATGATTGCATATAGGCCAACCCTGGAATGGGTACATGTACAGGTACATGCCTTGTATACTGGCCAACCCTGGTTCAGTCCTGGGCACTGCATTGTCCATCAAGCCCTGGAGTCCCCAGGTAATCCCCAGCACCACAGGGCCCAAGCAGCACATCCTCAGGCCCTTGCACTAAAATGCTCTGTTGGAAGAAAATCACCAGGATGGGCCCCTAGGCTTCCTGGGTACAACTTGGAAGTCCAAAAGAAAATTATTCCTAAACAAAAATAAAATGAAAAGGACTATTATTAAGCACAAGGAAACTGCTCTGTCTTTCAACTATTCCTTGAATAATAGTAACCCCAGGGCAAGAGATACAGTACAGTAGGAGAGGCCCTTAAACCTGGGTTTAATTCCCAGCACCCTACATGATCACCCCAGTCTCAAGAGTGATTCCTGAGCAGTCAGGAGAAGCACTGAGCACAGCGAGGTATGGCCCAAAAGCCAGTAAATAAAAGCAATGTCATATTAAAACAAATGTTTCATTTTCTTCTATTATCTTTTGAACCTAAGAATATGAATAACAGCGTTCTAATTAATATTTTAATATGTTAGAAAATTACAAAATATCTGAAATATAGTCTCAGGTGCAAAGATAAAAAATTTACACACACACAGCATTTCTAGGTCATTTTAGTTATGATAAATAAAAATACCACCTTCAACTAAATAAATCTATAAAAGAAAAGTCAACTTACTGGAGTGAAACCTCTACTTACAGGAGTAGAACCTTTAATTAAACTGAAAGGAGACAGACCAAGAATTTCTTTCCACTTTTTATGCCATTCTCCTTGCTTTTCAACAATCGAATGTCTTATAGTTGTAAGACCTTCCTTCATTTTATGCCTGTGATAGCATAAAGTATAACATCATTCAAAACACAAATATACAAAGTAGTATGAATGAATTTAAATATTAAAGAGTTTGGACAAAAGGGGAAAAAATCTAACTCAAAGTTCAACCAATATATTACATGTAAATAAAATAAAGTCTCACAATAAATATTCAAAACTAAAAATACCTTTCTTACTTTTATAAGCAGAAAACAATCATATTTCTCTTCTTCCACTTAACTTTAAAATACAAGGGGCAGGTAAGCCTTGAATGCAGCTGAGCCCAGAACAATCTCAAGGACTACATATAGTTTTCCAGCACTCCCAGGAGTGACCCTTCAGCACAGAGATAAGAATAGGCCATACACTGCCAGGTCTGGCTCAAAATAACAAAGAAAACAACAACAGATCCAACTATTTCCTGGTTTTATACTTGCATCAAGATTCTACTTCTCTGTCCATGACTTAAGGTAGCCCCGCTTCCCTGTCACATTGCTCAAATAAAGAACTTTTCTGAAGTCTAGTATTTAAAGTACACTCCAAAGCCAGAAAAATAGTAAGGCTGATAATGTGATTGCATTGCTAGTGGTCAACCAGGGTTCGGTTCCTGGCATCACTTATGATCCTGGAGACCATCCAGAGTAAATCCTGAGCTCAGAGTCAGGAATAAGCCTGGCATACAGCTGGGTGTGGCCAAAAATAAACAAATAAAAAAGTGACATAAAAAACAAAAAGCTGACTCCAGAGAAAAAGCTAGAGGAATTTACAAATTATTTCATGAAAAATTACCACTCAGGACAAAAAAGTTTGAAGAGAGAAAACTACATTAAATTTCCTTCCTACTTTGGATGTCCCTCTTGGAGTTGAAGATTTACTCTTTTTTTTTTTTTTTGGCTTTTGCTTTTTGGACACACCCAGTGGTAAACAGGGCTTATTCCAGCTCTGTGCTCAGGGAACACTCCTTACAGTGCTCCGGGGACCACCTGGGATAGCAGAGATCAAACCAGGGTCAGCCACAAGCAAGGCAAGCACTCTCCTACCTGCTGTACTATCACTGCAGTCCCTGATGACAAAAGGGTTTTTAGTAGCAATAACATTTTCACACTTGTGGGCCAGAAGGAACCCGTCAGCATCACTGGGTGTGCACCCCTCACCCCCGGCTCCCTACCTCAAAACATTCTCACACTTGTTTGACAAAGAGTTACTAACTATGGAAGAGACTGTTGAGAAACTATCAAAATCACTCCACCAACAGTCCAATAAAATAATAGATTTTTGACAAGTACCTTGTTTGCTTCAGATCTGATAATCTTTCTCTTTGAAACTTGGTCTCTTTTTCAAGAAAATGTGGGTCTATTTTCAGTCTTGCCTGGTCCGTCTGACAGCATTCATGTTTCATTATTTTTAGGACTTCATTTAACAATTGAATAACTGTCAAGAAGTTCAATTTTCCTGATTCATAAACATTTCCTATGTGCAACTAAAGATTCAGAGAGGAAAAAAGTAAACCACAGATTCTAAAGATAAAAAGCCATTACATAAATGTTTACTATTACACAAAAACTTAACCTTAGAGAATAGGAAAAAGTAACTAACATCTAGCTCAAAATAAATGTAGATTATTCTGGAATTACAAGGAACATGCCAAGTTACAATTCTATACTATACAATATACATACATTAGAATAGGCTTAAATTCGGAGTTTACTCAGAAAAAGTGGAAACAACTGAATGGGCTTGGACTGAAGGAGAGAGAAACTAGAAATTCCAAGAATATTATTGTATAGAAGGATGAAGACATGTTATTGGCTAAGAGCTTGTATGGGCCAGAGACAGTGTAGTAGAGCATGTTTACGGTGCATGCAGCTGACTTGGCTTTCATCTCTGGCATCCCACAAGGTCCCCCAAGCACTGTCAAAAGTTAACTCCTGAGCAAAGAGCCAAGAGTAACTTCTGAGTATCGCCATGTGTGGTCTCAAAACAAAACAAGAAAAATTTTGTAATACAGGGCCTGAGAGAGAGTCCAGGAAGGAAAAGAAGGTGGTTTGACAGCGAGCAATGTACTGTTCCCCAAGAAACACCAGGAGCAACTCCTGAACAGAGAGCTAGGAGTAGCGCCTAAGCACACTGGGTAAGGCCCAATAATAGATAAGTAAAATACAATCAGGATGAAGTACAGAAACTTTTCAACTATGTTGTTGCTGCTACCCAAACTAATTTTTTTTTAAGTATTAGAGTGTGTCTTCTAAGTAACTCTGACTCTACACACTGTATTTCACACTTACGCGATACTGAAAACTAATAAAATTTGATAGCTATAAGCATATCCTCAATAGCTCCTTTATGAAATAATAATTATAAATGTTCAAGGCCAGAGCACGGTACAACGGATAGTGCCTTTGCCTTGCATGCAGCGGACCAGGGTTCAATCCCCAGCATCCCATATGGTTCCCCAAGCACCACCAGGAGTGATTCCTAAGTGCAGAGTCAGGAGTAACCCCTGAGAATTTCAGGTGTGACCCCCCCCAAACAATACAAAGCAAAGCAAAACAAAACAAAATATATTCTCAGGGACTTGAGAGATAGCTTAATGGGTTGGAGTGTGTTTTGCCTGCAGGAAGTCTGAATTTGATCCTTGGCACCACATGATCCCCTGATACCTTCAGGAGTGACCCTAGAGCTCCAGGCCAGGAATAACCTCCTGAACACTACTAATGCAGCACAATATAGATATATGCAGATAGCTATACACACACACAAAGACAAACACACACATTCCTCCTGATACAAGATTTACTACATACATTTACAAAATTTCTGAGGAATATAGAAAAAGATTAAAAATTAAAATAATTACACAAAGGGAATTTTCTTTACTTTTTTAAAATATCAATGCTTACCTGACTCATTTGTTTCTCAATCTTGTCAATTAAGAGGTTTGGAATATTAATAGTAACATTAGTTCCATCTAAGACATAATGGTTAACAAGACTAAGGACTGAACTAACAATTTCTCTCTCTTTATCCAAAATCTCAAGTGTTTCAGTCACCGAAGCCCATAAAGATCGAACCTTTGAAAACAGAGGCAAATGAAAAATATTAAAGTCTATACGTAATCTGAAAGTATATTAAAGAAATACAAAATATAAATATATGCTCACTCTCAAGAACATATAAAATATTCCTGGAATGACCACTGAGACAAAAAAGATCATAAGTCTAAAACTACTGATATTATTTCCAAGAGGCAATAATACTAATTTCTCAGGACTGTAGCCCACTACAATTTTTGTTTGTTGGTTTTATTTTGCTCGAGCGGGCCCAGTAACGTCTCCATTGGAGACTTTGTTGTTACTGTGTCTGGCATATCGAATACTCTCGGTAGCTTGCCGGGCTCTCCGAGAGGGGCGGAGGAATCGAACTCGGGTCGACCATGTTGGCCGCGTGTAAGGCGAACGCCCTACCCGCTGTGCTTTTGTTTTTGGGCCGCACCCAATGACACTCAGAGCAGACCTCTGGCTCCGTGCTAAGAATCACTCCTAGAAGTGCTTGGAGGACTACAGGAATCAAACTGACAGCAGACAAGCAGCAAGCAAGTACTTTAACCCTTGTAGTATCTCTCTGGCCCCAGATAGACCACTATAATTTTTAAAACAAAACTAAAAAACTTCATACTACCAAGAAGAAACCAGCATCTTCTATATTCTGTATGCTATAAATGTAATAAGGTTTTCAGGGGAAAATAATGACTTTCAGGAGGAAAAAAACTATGTTTTATGTTATAAGACATAAATTTATAAATGTCAATTTATAAATTTCAAACATAAATGTCATACATTTATAGCACTGTATGACAATTGTGTTTCAATGTTTCAGAAAAATTAAAATGTGAAAAAGCATATCTCTTTAAAAGTAAAAAACTCTTGGGCAAGAGCAATAGTACAGCAGATAGGGCGCTTGCCTTGCACGCGGCTGGCCCAAGTTCAATCTCTGGCACCCCATATGGTCCTGAGCCCCACCAGGAGTGATCCCTGAGTACAGAGTGAGTAGTAACCCCTCGGCACTGCCAGATATGGCCCAAGCGAGTAAATAAATTAAATAATAATAATAAAGTAAAAACTCTTAGCCTCATACTAAACTATGTCCATTAAAATTCACTCTCAATGAAAAAGTAAAGAGCACTACCAGGAACAACTCCTGAGCACAAATTCAGGTGTAACCCCCAAGCACTGCCAAGTGAGGCCCATAAAAAATTTACAACTAAACAAAAATATATTAAAAAATTAATAAATTAAATAAACACACACACAATTGGGGCCAGAGAACTAGCTCAAAGGGCTAAAGCACATGTCTAGCATGCATAGGGTCCTGGCACAGCGGGTAGGGCGTCTGCCTTGCACGCAGCCAACATGGCCGACCCGAGTTCGATTCCTCCGCCCCTCTCGGAGAGCCTGGCAAGCTACCGAGAGTATTTGATATGCCAGACACAGTAACAACAAAGTCTCCAATGGAGACGTTACTGGGCCCGCTCGAGCAAATCGATGATAAGCGGGAGGGCCTTTACTTTACTTTACTTTACTTGTTTTGTTTTAGGGGCCAAGCACCACATTCAGGAATACTCATGGGTTACTCCTGGCACTGCTCAGGGGACCACACATGATGCCACGGATAGAAACCGAGTCAGCTGCATGCAAGGCAAATGCCTATCTGCTGTACCTATTGTTCCAAGTCCAGGGCCCTGGTATTGATCTCAGTACCATATGGCCGACTAAGCACGACCAGATAGTCCTCATGCTCCTCTCATATAAATAAATTTTATGTGTAAGAATGCTTATAGTATTTCTGTATGTGATAATAAAACACTGGAATCAATCTAATCTACCTAAAGAGTATACTGTGCTACATTTATAAATACAACAATGAGAATGAATCTACTACATCCATACAACACGATATGTAAAGCAGCTTGAATCAAAGTCAGACACAAAAGAGTATCTTCTCTATATATTCCCATTTATATAATTGTAGTTTAAGAACACACTAATTAATCTTTAGTGTAAGAATTGAGGATAGCGGCCCAAGTGATGGCTTAACAAGTAGAACCCATGCTCTGCATAAAAGAAGGCTAAGGTTCAATCCCCAGCATGTTGTTCCCCCAAGCACTGCCCTTGGTACACAATCAGAAGCAGCACCTGAGCACTATCAGGAGAGGCCCCTACACAAATAACAAAGAGAACTGAAGATAACGTTTACTCTGGGAAATGGCTGAGAGTGAACGAAGATTTCTGGAATGCTGACTACTCTATCCCTTAAAGTGAATGGCGGTAACCTGGGTTATGTTCAAGAAATTCTCTTGGGGTTTTTGTACGTTTTCGGGTGAATGTGCTATTATGCCTCAACAGAAGTTTTAAAAGAGGGAGGGAGGAGGGAAAATAATTATACTTTGACAATAAAGTTTGTGTCCTCCTGTGGTACAAGATAGGAGGAGGCTTCCAAAAAAGGACTCATTGGATAATAAGAAGATGAAAATTTCATGAGACCACATTTCCCTGCTGAACAGACACAGGATCTGGTTCTCAAACTTTTTAAGCCTAAAAAATTCTGTCTGTCGCTCAAAGCTGACACAGAAAACTGAATATTAACTTAAATTCAGTAATCTGATGTGAAAACTTTACAATGCTCCACAAAAACCATTAAGTTTAAAATAAACAGTATATTCAGTATTAGAAACATTCATATTTCCTAAATTGGAAGTTCCATGAAAGAAGTAACTGCCTGCTCTTCATTATTGAAGCTCTACTCTAAAATCCAGAATACCTCTACTACATATGACAGGTGATCAATAAATATTCACTGAATGAGTAACTTTTTAAGAGAATACTCACCTTTTCCAGTGACAAGGTACCTGGGAAGCCAAATTAATATTCAAAGCAGCTGGATGATCATAGAATCAGAACAAAGAGTTTGAGATTTCATCCAAACACAAAGAAAACCTAAGACAATACGCCTATCCAGCAAAGCCAACCTCAAAATTTCAGGTCATTTGTCTGCAGATTCCTCTTTGCTGCCATGCCAGCTTCAAAGCAGCATCTCATTTTCCTTTTGTACTTTCCACCTCCCTTCAGCAATATTACTTAGATAAACAAGATACTACTGCAAGTCAGAGAGGAAGCTCAACAGGCTGAATGCATACTTTGCATGCCAGAGGCCAAGTTCAATCCAAATACCACCAGGAGTGACCCAGAGCACAAAGTCAGGAGTGGCCCAACACACAAATAAAAAATACTTGATTAAGCTGAACTTTTGCTTGCTGGCATCAAAAACTTTAAAACCTTAATATACTTAAAACTGCTTTTATATATATTATTTCTTCTACTACTTCAGGCATTTTAGAGGTGCCCTGATAGTACCATGACCACTACCATATTTCATGCATATCTATATGCAGGTATATATATATATACACACGCACATATGTATATGCATATATACCTACATATAGATGTACATATATAGTAAGTTCATATCACAAGAGTAAAATAGAAAAAGTAAAAGGAAAGTGATAAAAACAAATGTTAAAAAGAAATTGTATATCACAAATGTCAGAAAGATTAAATTTCTTTCTTAATGTTGTCTCACCTTTTCAATATTCTCTTGCATATTAATTTGTTCATCAAAGGGTTCCATGCTAATAAAAAATTAAATAATTTCTTTAGTCATTTAAAAATTCACATGGTAATTTACCACTCAAAGAGCTAGTCAATCTACAAATCAAATCATTAATAATATTTCCAATTTAAAACTGAAATAAAATTTTAGTCCAAAGCAATAAAAAGTGCTTCTAGAATTAGTTACAAATTACTCTTAACTACTCATATATTATTAAAGTTAATGTTTCTGGGACACTCAGTTTTCCTTATTTGTAAACTACAGGACTTTTAAACTAATCTCAGATAACTTTCAACTCTGTAACTTACTTTTTTATTTGGTTTTGCTGTGCTACACATTCTGTTCTCAAACTTCTAATATGTTTAACTGAGAGTCTGCAAGAAAACACAAGTAAGTTACTCTTCCATTTACAATGTACTTTGGATAATCCTCATTGGTATTTTACCACTTTGGGGTCTCCTTGCTGGACCATAGATATAGTATAGGGGCTTGCAAGCAGCTGGACTAGATCTCTGGCACTGTGTATGGTGCCCCTGAACATTGACAGGGGACTCACAAGCACAGTGTGGCCCAAAAATAAAACAAAAAGCTCAAGGCCTCTGAGTACATTCTTCCGATTACACTCAGCAACAAAATAAAGGATTTTAGACTCTGGAGCAGAGCAATATGTACAGCAGATACAGAGCGTGTGCCTTGCACACAGCTAACCCAGGTTCAATCCCCGACGCCCCTTATGGTCCCCCAAACTCACTAGGAGTCATGCCTGAGCAGAGCCAGGAGTAAGCCCTCAGCACCACTGTGTGTGACCCAAACTTCCCCCTCCCCAAAGGGCATTTTAGATTCCCTTCAAGAATTACAGATATAATCTAATATAGAGGCAGCTTGTGTAATGGAATAGAAAGTTCTAGATTCAAACTGACTTTGGGGACAAAAACTGGAGGTCATTACTAGCTTTCTTATCCTCATCTCAAATATCAAGGATGATGCATTTAAATGCTATCTAAGACAACAATGCAAAGTTTCAGTTTTAGGGTGATGTCAAGAATTTTTTAATTTGGGTAACAGATAACATTCTAAAAGATACCTAACTGTAGTTGTTTATAAAGATGGAAAATGACACTATCTGTATGCTGAGAATAAGAGCCTTGCCTTTCTTAATTAACACTGTAAGACCAGTGCCTAAACAAGTTTAGGCAAATAAAAGATTTAAAAAAATGAAGGGCTGCAAAATGAGAAAGAGAGAGAGAGAGAGAGAGAGAGAGAGAGAGAGAGAGAGGCTGGAGCAATAGCACAGAGGGTAGGGCATTTGCCTTGCATGCAGTCAACCTAGGTTTGATTGCCAGCATCCCATATGGTCCCCTGAGCACGACCAGGAGTAATTCCTGAGTGCATGAACCAGGAGTAACTCCTGTGCATCGCTGGGTGTGACCCAAAAAGCAAAAAAAAAAAAAGAGAGAGAGAGAGAGAGAAAGTTTCTGCTATAGAGGTAGGTTTCTGGGAGAACTGGTGTGAGGAAAACTGGGGACAGGTGGGAATGTACACTGGGAATGTACTGGCATTATATAACTGAAACCCAATCATGAACAACTTTGTTCCTGTGACTCTCACGATGATTCAATTTTAAAAAGGGGGGTGGGAAGGTGGAGAGAGAGTACAGCAGGTAAAACATGTGACCAATCCAGGTTTGATCCCCAGCACCAGTATGGTTCCCTCAGCCTGCCACGGATCCCTGAACAGACAAGAGTTAGCCCTGTGGACAACCAGGAGTGGCCTACAAAAGGAAAAAATATATATTTATAACTAAAACCTATTTGGAGGATCTACTAAATGGAAAGATTTGGAACTCTTGGCAAACTATTAAACTGACAAAGTTAAAAGAAGTAATAGAAACAAAAAAATTTACAGAATAAAATACTGAGAAAAAAGACAAAATACAAGACTAAATACAACAATTATTTTCGAACACAACTGCATATTAAAAAAGAAAAAAGAGAAAAAACACTTCACAGGGATCAGAGAGATAGTAAAACAAGTAAGGCACTTGCCTTGCACACAGACAACCCAGATTCTATCCCCAGCATCCCACATGGTCCCCCAAGCACTGTCAGGGTGCAAAAATTCCTGAGTGCAAAGCCGGGAGAAAGCCCTGAGCATTGCCGGGTATGGCTGCAAATATAAAAAAATTAAAAAATTAAGAATACACTTAACAATGTTTTTCTCTGTTCTGTTTTGCTTTGTCGCTACACCTGCTGTGTGCAGGATCTACTCTCAAGATTGATAGGCGGGGAATTATGTGATGCCAGAAGAAAGCCCTAGGGACTGAACCTGGTAATGGGAATCCAACCAGGGTCTCCTGCATGCAAAGTGTATACTCTAGCCTGCTGAACTGTCTCTCCAAACCCCAAACTAAATTTTTTGTACTAAAGGTGATCTTCTTCTTTTTTTCTAAGCACTGACAATAACGTATCCAGAAGTTACCTGGCTCTAAAATGAAAACTTGGCAGGGCCAGAGCAATAGTACAGAAGGTACTATTGCATATAGCTAACCAAGTTAGCCGATCCCCAGTGCCTAACATGGTTCCCTGAGCACCACAACAAGTAATTCCTGAGTGCAGGGAGTTAATCCCTGAGCATCACCAAGTATGGCCCAAAAACCAAAAATAAATAAAATGGAAACTTGAAGCCAGAGTAATAGTACAGCAGGTAAGGCATAGAGAAAAGGAGTCAGTTCTATGAGCACTACCAACTGTGGTCCAAAGCCAAAAGATAAGATAAAATAAAATAGGGGGTATGGTGCCACCAGCAGGTCAGTCTGTACCTGTGAGGCGAGTGCATCAGCAACCTGATGGCACATTCAGACTTCCAGATACCCCAAATTTGCTGCTGTGCCTTTGGCCAGACCCCTAAAACTTGAGGCAAAGTTTACCAAGAAAGTAAACGGCCAAAAGTTAGGTATGTGGGAGACACACCCACAAACCACCTCCGGCTCAGCTACATAATTGGAGGCATGGCTTCTCTGGTTCCTGATTGAACTGCTTAATGGCCATGATCCCAGAGACTCAGAAACAAATTTTGAAACCCAGCGGCTTTTGGCAGAAATGCGTCCGGTCCCTGCAGTAGGTTACCAGTGCTGGGCCAACCCAGGTGAGAATAGGTTTCGTGCCTTCGCCTGTTTCCCCGGCGGCCTAGTGGCCGCCATTCTCCAGAGGCCACTGGACAGTCAGGTTTGGACCCACAGTGACGAGACAAGGGATGGGGCTGGAGCTGGTCCTTTCCTCCCCACCCCAACAAGACCCCAAGTCATCGCCCACAAAGAGCCTCTCTGGCTCCTGATCAAGCTGCTTAACAGCCACGATCCAAGAGATTCAGAAACAAATCTCGAAACCCAGTGGCCTTTGGCAGAAATGCGTCCGGACCCCGCAGTAGGTTATTGTCACTGGGTCACCCCAGGGGGGAAAAGGTGCTGTCCCTCTGCCTGCTCCCCCTTGGTGGCTCGGTGGCTGCCATCCTCCAGAGGCCATTGGACAGTCAGGATTGGGCCCACAGTGACGAGACATGTTAGACCTCACGGGATGGGGGTGGAGCCAGTCCTTTCCTCCCCACTCCAACGAGACCCCAAGTCATTGCCCACAAATGGCCTCTCTGGCTCCTGATCAAGCTGCTTAACGGCCATGATCCCAGAGACTCAGAAACAAATCTTGAAACCCAGCGGCTTTTGGCAGAAATGCATCCGGACCCTGCAGTATAACTGTTGCTGGGCCACCCCAGGGGGGAAAGGGGGCTGTCCCTCCACCTGCTCCCCCTAGGCAGCTCAGTGGCCGCCATCCTCCAGAGGCCACTGGACAGTCAGGTTTGGGCCCTCAGTGACGAGACACGCGGGGCCTCTTGGGATGCGGGTGGAGCCGACCTTTTCCTCCCCATCCCAAAGAGACCCTGCGTCACCGCCCATGAACGGCCTTTCTGGCTCCTGATCAAGCTGCTTAACAGACATGATCCAAGAGACTCAGGAGCAAATCTCGGAACGCAGCAGGTTTTGGCAGTAATCCCTCCAGATTTAAGTGTTAAAATTTCAGAATTTCAAAATCACACAGCCACTGCTGCAGACACACAACATCAAATGTTATTCATAACCAGCAATAGAAAACAAATTGTCTACTGTTGCCTTTTCAGCAGATCTGAGTATTGGGGTAAAATCTCAAATAATAATGGTGGGTCTGGTGTCAAATACTGAATGTGATCAAAGTAGAGAGAGAGTAATGTGAAAATCATCTGCCCCACAGGTAGGGGGAGGGTGTGAGATGGGGGTATACTGGGGTTGTTGGGGGTGGAGAATGGGCACTGGTGAAGGTACGGGTGTTTCATTGTATGACCGAGACCTAGATCCAAAAGCTTTGTAACTGCTCTCACGGTGATTCAATAAACAAAATTATAAAAAATGAAAAAAAAAAAAGTAAGGTGGAGTTCATGCCCAATTCAATCAGCTAATCAGTGGCTGAATAAATAGCAGCACTCCTACATAAAAAATAAATTAATAAAATAAAATAAAATAGAAGTTTTACCATGGGGGGTGGGGGTGGCGGTGAGGGGGTTGACAGTTATGGAGGTAATGATGGTAACTGATTTGTTCAAACTATTTGTTAAAAAGCAAAGAACTTTCATTTTCTACTTACTGTGCATTTTCCTGATATTTTCTGGTAACACAATCTTCTTTTTGTAAAATATGTAAAAATCTGTTACGTGCTACCTGGCATCTGGCAATGCACATGTGCAAATCTTGAGTCTTTACATTAAGGATCTCTATAAAATGTGTGGAAGGATCTACATGGAATACAAATATAGAAAACTTAGATTACAAGCTAACAAATATAAAAAATGTTTTAATTTTAAGAAATTAACTGATTGAGATAACAATTGCTAAAAGCTGGTACATCACATTACACCAAAACCACTTATTTCAACAAAAGCACTGACCTACTTCTGAACAGGAACCTAAAATACCTGGGAAAAACAGATAACTACAAGGGTTAAGAAGTTTGCCTGGCATGAGGCCAACCCAGGATCAACTCAGGCATTCCATGGTCTCACCAGTCCTCCAGGTTCCAAGCACAATACTGAAGTTAGCGCCAACTGCTTTCAGGTGTGGCCAAAACCCCCCACAAAAATAAGTAATAAAATAAGAAGTTTGAAGTTGAGTTATTTCACACAATCAAAAACTTTCAGAAGTCAATCAACCAGATTATCACAGCTTGATACATTCATGAACAAGTACATTATTACACAAGAGCAACTTTTTTGAGGGGGTGGGTCACCCAAGCACAGCTAAGGAGACTCTAGGAGCTGTTTCCCCAAATACTGGGCCAATTAGAAGATTCAAGCAAGAGCCACACAATATGACACAGCTCAAGACCAGTGCTGCTTGGGGTCACCACAGCCAAACCTGGAAGTTCTGGGGGGCTTCTGGGGCTATATCCTGTGGTACGAGCAACTGAACCTTTTTTGTGTGTTTGTTTCTCGCACCCTCCCCCTTTTTTTTTAAATGAACTTTACTGGCAAGCAGGGCTCAAAAGATGCAGCTCAGCGCTGGCGTCGCCGAGGGTAGTGGTGGGGACACTCAGAACTTGGGTTTTATCTTTGGCTTTTTGGGTCACACCTAGCAATACACAGGGGTAACTTCCTGGCTCATGCACTCAGGAATTACTCCTGGCAGTACTCGGGTGAGCATATGAGATCTGGAAATCAAACCCGGGTCAGCCACGTGCAAGGCAAATGCCCTATCTGCTGTGCTATCGCTCCAGCCTCCTGAACTTGGGTTTTTTATGGGTGTAAGGCTTGTGCCACTGACCCCTGAGCTATCTTCCCAGGTCTGCTTTTTTAGTTCTGGCCATACTCAGCAGTACTGGGAGAGGGGGAAGAAAAAAGACAACACTCCAGGTGGTATCTGAAGGACCAGGCAATGCTTGGGATCAAAGCCATGTCCCCCACAAAGAAAGCACATGCTCCAGCATGTTCAAGGTGGTTTTTTTTCCAGGTGGTTTTTTTCTGGGGGGAGGGGGTGGTGATTGGGGGTCACACTTGACCATGCTCAGGGATTATTACTGGCTCTGTGTTCAAGAATCACACCTGTAGCCGAGATTAGTACTAGGAGTTTTGCTCCATGGCTTGGAGGCCAGCCACACATTCTAGAGGAAAAGGGAGCTCAGATAGAGAAAGGAGCACCAAATAAAGGGTGTTGGGAGGATCCTCCCAGGATGGGAGATGCATGCTGAAAGTAGACTATAGACCAAACATGATTGCCACTCAATGCCTCTTTTGCAAACAACAACACCCAAAAGGAGAGACAGAACAAAAGGGAATGCCCTGCCACAGAGGCAGGGTGGGATGGAGGGATGGGGGGTGGGAGGGATACTGGGACCCGTGGTGGTGGAAAATGGGCACTGGTAAAGGGATGGGTGTTTGATCATTGTATAATTGAAGCCCACACACGAAATTCGTAAATCTACAACTGTACCTCATGGTGTTTCACTAATTAAAAAAAAAAAAGAAAGAAAAGAAAAGAAAGCAAAAAAAAAAAAGAATCACTCCTGGCAGTGTTAGGGTTAGGATTAAAGTAGGATCAACATGCGCAAGCATATTATCTGATCTCTTTCATTATCCTTCCGTTCTGTAAGGAGCAACTTCTTAACAGAATTAAGGTTGTACTCTGAAAACTGGACGTTTATCCTATCAGCTTCATTCCTTCCTGTATTTTATGAGTACAAACCAACTAGAGCAACATATATTAGTAGCATTCTTTAAAATCTTAGCTTAAAAATCCAACATTTCATTTCAATCAACCTAAAAACAATTTCTAACAAAAATTCCAAATAATTCAACCTATTGAATATAAATGGTTAAATGAAGGATTAACTGCAAAACTACAAGCTATAGGTTCATTTTATACCCCTGTTTTTCAAGGCTAGCAAGAAAACTTTCTACACTTTTAAGAGTTATAACTGCTTTTTCATAAAAGACAAGGATATGTGACAGAGACCATGTGGTCCTCAAAGCCCCAAATTTTTACTATCTGTCCTGATACAGAAAGTGTTTTCAGAAAGTATTATATCAGCATATAATAAAATAATCTGTAAGACCATTTATGTTTGTTATGATTTAAGACAACTCTAGCAATATATTTAAACAATTTGTTTTGTTTTTTGGGCCACACCTGATAGTACTCAAGACTAACTTCTGGCTCTACACTCAAAGATCACTCCTGGTGATGCTTGAAAGATCATGTGAAGTGCTGGAGATTGTACCCAGGACACACCGTGGAGACAAGCATCTTACCCCACTGTACTACATCTCTGCCCACCAACTGATCTTTTGTGGTAAATTGCTCTTAACTAACTTTACCTTATAAAAATTTCTTTACTTGAAATGACTCAGAAAGAAAGGGATAGACATAGAAAGATTGCATTCATCTGGGGGACATAAAGTAACAAAATAGGAGACTAACGTTAACCCAAGAATGGCCGAGATTAGTTCCATGAATTTTACTCCATGGCTTGGAGGCCAACCACACATGCGAGGGAAAAGGGAGCACAGATAGAGAAGGGAACACCAAATAAAGGGTGTTGGGCAGATTCTCCCAGGATGGGAGAAGCATGCTGAAAGTAGACTATAGACCAAACATGATTGTCACTCATTGCCTCTTTTGCAAACCACAACACCCAGTAAGAGAGAACAAAAGAGAATGCGGGTGGGATGGGGGATGGGGGGGTGGGAGGGATACTGGGATCCGTGGTGGTGGGAAATGGGCACTGGTGGAGGGATGGGTATTTGATCATTGTATAATTGAAACCCAAGCATAAAAACTTGTAAGTCTACAACTGTACCTCATGATGTCTCACTAATAAAAATTAAAAAAAAAAATTTCTTCACTTGCAAATTGGAACTTACCTTTAGAATTGGATCTGATATATTTCATTGCAACAAATCTTGCAAAATGATACATGAGATGAATAAATTTAGAACCACCAGGAGAAATAAATAGTGAACCAGCAACCGGAGGAAAGCTGCTTCCACATTCAGCCTATGGGTAAATGAAATAAGACAATTTGAAGACTTTAACAACAATAACTTTTACAACGGATCGTCTCTGAAGTGTAACAGAATAAGAACTATTCATTTTTTCACCAAAGCTTAGTTTAAAACTGGGGGGATGGTAATGGGAGGAGCAGCTGGTCCTCACGCAAAGGTGCTCAGGACTTACTCCTCACTCTGTGCTCCATGATCACTCCCAGCAGTGCTGGGGGACCACATGCAGTGCTAGGGATCAAACAGGGGTAGATCGCAAGCAAGGTATTTACCCCTGTACTAACTCTCCAAGCCCCATAGCTTAATTTTTTAATCTTTCCTAACTTTTGGTAGACTTAAGTCACAAAAAATTACAATAGTCATAATTAAGCATATTCTCTAGGAGACACAAGCTACAATAACATATGCTAAAAAAGTTTTCTGTAAATAAAAACCATGGAGGCCAGAAGGATAGTACGGCAGCTAAGGCACTTGCCTTGAACACAGCTGACCTAGTTCAGATGCATCCCAAACGGTCCCCCTGAGCACTGCTGGGTGTGGCCCCCAAACCAAAACAAAACAAAAAAATGATGTAAATTCCCAGGAACTCAACAACCTATCTCCAGTGTAGCTAATCAAGCAAGCCAGTGTCCTGGAAATATATACAAGCCCATCCAAAAACTGTTCTAATTAATATTTCATTGCTTATAATATCAACATAAAAGCAGTAAAAGCATTTCATCAATTTAAAAAAAATACAAGCATGGATTTCAAGAAAGCTAGGGGAAAGATAGTTACAGTTTGCATCTCCCAGTAAAAATACTTACAGAAATATTTTTTAACCATTCACAGCAATGCTTCCGGAATTCAGCATCCCTTTTCTGATCAAATGGAGGCCAACAATGTCTTCAAATAAAGGCAAACAAACAAGCAAAACAATAACATTTTAAAACATTAAACTTATCTCCTTAAACTAGAAGCATGAATTCTAAATTAATCAAGGTTAGCATTCTTTGATTTTTGACTAAAGAGAAATAACAACTGTGAGAAACTGGGTTTTTCTCTTTTTAAATATCTACAGTGTTGGGGCAGGAAATCTTCCATGCAGTCAACCCAGGTTCAATTCCTGGTGTGCCACATGATCTTCCAAGTATTGCCAGGAGTGATCCCTAAGCACAGAGCCAGGACAAGCCTAAACCAAAGATATGGAGCAAAAATAAATAAATAAATAAATAAATAAAATTAAACAAATATCTATAGGGCTGAGTTCAGTTTAGTGCAAATAATCAGTGAATATGAAACTGAGCGGGCCCAGTAACATCTCCATTGTGAGAATTTCTTGTTACTGTGTTTGGCATATTGAATACTCTCGGTAGCTTGCCAGGCTCTCCAAGAGGTGCGGAGGAATCAAACTTGGCTCAGCCAGGCTGCCTGTGTGCAAGGCAAATGCCCTACCGCTGTGCTGTCACTCCAATATGAAATTAGGTAAGGAAATTTATCACTATAAAATTACTACTGGGGCTGGAGCAATAGCACAGTGGGTAGGTTGTTTGCCTTGCATGCGGCCGACCCGGGTTCGATTCCCAGAATCCCATATGGTCCTCTGATCACCTCCAGGGGTAATTCCTGTGTGCAGAGCCAGGAATAACCCCTGTGCATCACCGGGTGTGACCACAAAAGAAAAAAAAATAGAATTACTACCAAAAAACTAAAGAGACAATATACTTAGTGGTTAAGGGGACCAATGCACTAATCTATAAATAAATACTAACATTTATTTAATATAAATAGGGGAAAGAAAAAAAATATTCTTTTTTTATTTTTGTTTGGGGGCTACACCCAGAGATGCTCAGTACTCCTGGCTCTGCACTCTATGATCATACCTGGCAGGGCTCAAGTAACCATATGGGGTACCCTGGGGTCAAAACTAGGTGAGTCTCATGCAAGACAAACTCCCTACCCACTGTACTATCAGTCTGGACCCTGAAATTTTAGTTGTACATAAAAAACACAAAAGAAATGGTATGAGAACTTATGGATCATAAAGATAACCCATATTATGGGTACTAGTGTTTTGCAGATAAATTCTTGGAAAAAAAAGTTTTGCCTCACCTTTAGCCAAAAATAATAAACTTTAATTTCATTATAAATTTTTTCCCCTGGTAATGTCTGACCCAGTATTGAGAGTTCCCAATAAACTTAAAATTGAACTTCCAAATGACCCAGCAATTCCACTTTTCAGCACCTACCCTCCAGGCCATAAAAACACTCTCTCAAAAAGATATAAGTACACCAGTTATTCACTGCTATACTCAATACAATAGCCAAGATATGGATTCAAACTAGGTGTCCCAACGATAGAGGAACAGATTATGAAGATGTGGTATAGATACACAGTGGAATACTAAGTAGCTGCAAGGATTGATGAAATTACGTAATTTGCTGCAACCTGGTTAGAACTGGAACATATACTGAGTAAAGTACATGAGAAGAAGAAAGATAAGATCACCCTTGATCCCAGTGTTTAGAGAGGACAGAGAAAGAAAGAAATCAAGGGGGTGGAGAACAGGAAATAATGGGTGAACAGGCATCAGGGCTTCAGCTATACTGGTGATGTGGGAGAATGGTGTAAACACATGCCCGAAACACAGAAGCACCAACACTGCAAGCATGAGATCTAAGCTGCAATCACTGGAACTCTGTAATGTTCCTATCAAATTGACAGGCTAACAACAGAGTGGAAGGTTGCGAGTGGGGAGGGAATATGAGAACAATGGTGGAGGGAAGTTGACGTTTGGGAGTGGGAACTGTTGCTGAAATATTATATGCCAACTATCAGTAACTTCATAAATCACAGTTCTTTAATTAAAAAAAAAAAATCCAGGGGTATGGTGCCGCCAGCAGGTCAATCTGTACCTGTGAGGTGAGTACATCAGCAGCCTGATGGCGTCTTCAGACTTCCAGATACCCCAAAATTCCTGCTGTGCCTTCGGCCAGACCCCAAAAACTTGGGGCAAAGTTTACCAAGAAAGTAAACGGCCAAAAGTTAGGTATGTGGGAGACATACCCACAAACCACCTCCAACCAGCTATATAACTGGAGGCAAGGCCTCTTTGGTTCCTGATCGAACTGCTTAATGGCCATGATCCCAGAGTCTCAAAAACGAATCTTGGAACCCAAAGGCTTTTGGCAGAAATGCGTCCTGTTCCTTCAGTAGGTTACTGGCGCTGGGCCACTCCAGGTGGGAATAGGTTTCGCGCCTTGGCTATTCCCCCTGGTGGCCTGGTGACCACCATCCTCCAGAGGCCACTGGACAGTCAGGTTTGGGACTGCAGTGACAAGACACATGGGGCCTCAACACATGGGGGTGGAGCCAACTCTTTCCCCCATCCTAACGAGACCCCAAATCGCCACCTACAAACGGCCTCGCTGGCTCCTGATCAAGCTGATTAACAGCCATTATATCGGAAACTCAGAAACAAATCTCGAAACCCAGCAGCTTTTGGCAGAAATGCATCTGGACTGCATACAAGGTGGCCACCAGCTCAGAGCTTATTGGAAAGCCAGGTATGAGCCAGCGGTGACGGGATAACTGCAGTCTCATGGAAGGGGAATGGTACCGGCTTGTCCTTCACGCCCTACTGAGTTCACGAGTTGCCCCCCATAAGCGGCTCTCTGGTACGGCCATGGCTCCAGAGGCAAAAGGACTTAATCCAGAGCCTGGAAGCTTGTGGCAGAAAAGTGAATGGACAATGCGTTAAACTACAGCGTCATGCCTCCCCAGGAGGGAAAGGGTGTTGCTCCCTTCCACCTTTTCCCCCCTGGCAGCAAGGTGGCTGCCACCTCAGAACTTATTGGAAAGCCAGGTATGAGCCGGTGGTGAAGGGGCAACTGCAGTCTCATGGGAAGGAGGGCGGTACCAGCTCATCCTTCACGCCCTACCGAGGTCACGAGTTGCCCTCCATAAGCGGCTCTCTGGCATGGCCATAGCTCCAGAGGCAAAAGAACTTAATCCAGAACCCGGCAGCTTGCAGAAGAAAAGTGAATGAACCATGCATTAAACTACGGCGCCATGCCTCCCCGGGAGGGAAAGGGTGTTGCTCCCTTCCTCCTTTTTCCCCCTGGCAGCAGGGTGGCCACCACCTCAGAGCTTATAGGAAAGCCAGGTACGAGCTGGCGGTAATGGGGCAACTGCAGTCTCATGGAAGGGGGGGGCGGTACCGGCACGTCCTTCACACCCTTCACGAGTTACCCCCCACGAGCGGCTCTCCAGCACGGCCATAACACCAGACACACAGAAACCAATCTTGTAATTATCTGACTCTTTGTAGAAATCCAAAATCGCATGACATTATATGATTCTCATTACCAGCTATAGAAAACAAAATATTTCACAATGCCTTTTCAGCAACTGATTGTTTGGGGGGAAATTCTAAACAATAATGGTGCATCTTTTGTCAAAATAATGAATGTAGTCAATGTAGAGAAGAGTTAAGTAGAAATCATCTGCCTCACAGGCATTTGGAGGGGTGGGAGGGGAGGTATCCTGGGGTTCTTGGTGGTGAAAAATGAGTACTGGTGAAGGGAAAGGTGTTTGATCATTGTATGACCGAGACTTAAACCTGAAAGCTTAGTAACTTTTCCCACAGTGATTCAATAAATAAATATAAAAAGAATAAATAAATAAATAAATAAATAAGGTGGAGTTCATGCCCAATTCAATCAGCTAATCAGTGGCTGAATAAATAGCAGTACTCCTACCAAAAAAAAAAAAATCGGAAAAAAAAAAAAAAACCAGTTTGTCCAAAATGAGCATTTACTTAGGGATCTGTTTCACATGTGTATGTGTGTTCGTGTGTGTGTGTTATAAGGTACAAACATACATATATATGTTATATCAATAAATGAGCTATAAGGTGCTCCGTGGGGTTCTTAAAGCAGTAACACAGTAAGTTTTCTAGCCAATTTGGTCTTAAATGTGAGCTACGTTTTGGTTTTGGTGATTTTTTTTTAATATGTGTATAGTGTGTTTTCTTGAATCCAAAATGTGCTTTTGTTATAGGAGTTCAGTATTTGGACAATAATTGTTCTACTATTTTGTAGTATTGTTGGCATTTGTTGTAAATGGGGCTATAACTTTCTAATAAGCTTGGTTATCTAGAAATATATCAAAGCTCCCTCCCAATGGTGCTCAGGGAACCACATGTGGTACCAAGGATCAAAAGCAGACTGGCTGCATGCAAGGAGAGCACCCTACCCACTGTACTATATCTTCAGCACTGTTTTTTATATTTCTATAGTGTAACTACATTTGATTGTCATAGGGAAAAAAATTAGGTACATTGGAAGAATTGAGAGGCTGAAAAGGCAAGAGTAATGTTCTTTGGTCTACGGATTTCAGAATGATTTTCACTTCCTTTACAATCTAAATGCTTTAAATGAGTTGCACGGAGGCAAACAGACAGCTCAAGGGGCCAACCAAGCACAGGTTCCGCATGCAGGAGACCTAAATTCAATCCCCAGCACACCATATGGTTCCAGTACCACTAAGAGCAACTCCCAAGCCCTAAGCCAAGACTATTGAACATCACCAGGTGTTACCCAAAATACAAATAAATAAATAAACTGTCACTGTCACTGTCCTCCCGTTGTTCATCAATTTTCTCGAGCAGGCCCAGTAATGTCTCCATTGTGACAATTGTTACTGTGTTTGGCATATTGAATACATCATGGGTAGCTTGCCAGGCTTTGCCGTGCGGGCGAGATACTCTCAGTAGCTTGCAGGGCTCTCCAAGAGGGGTGGAGGAATCGAACTCAGGTCAGCCATGTTGGCTACCTGCAAGGCAAACGCCCTACCCGCTACGCTATCACTCCAGTCCCAGTAGTAATTTTATAGTGATAAATCTGTTAATAGAGATTGACTGCCAAATAAACTGTATCTCTTAAAAATAGTGGGTGGGAGAATTTAAAAAACATTTTTTGGGGCTGTAGCGATAGCATAGCAGGTAGGGCATTTGCCTTGCACATGGCCAACATGGTTCAATTCCCAGCATCCCATATGGTACCCTGAGCACCGCCAGGAGTAATTCCTGAGTGCAGAGCCGGGACTAACCCCTGTGCATTGCTGCGTGTGACCCAAAAAGCAAAAAAAAAAAAAAAAAAAAATTGTTTTGGGCCCCTCCTGGCAGTGCTCATTGATACTCCTAGCCTGTTGCTCAGGAGTTGCACCTGGCTCAGAAGACAGTAGCAGAGCCAGGGATCAAAATTTGAGATCCAAATCTCTAACTCACTAATCTGTCTCTCTGGATACAGAAAATCTACTCTGATTTAACCAAAGAACACCCAACACCTTTATGATAGGAATTTCAAACAGAATTATTCTGGTCACTCCTATTTTAAACTAAAATATTTTCAAACTAAAAATAAAAACACGAAGAATTATCAAAAATAAAAACAATGCTTAAATAATGAGTTATCTGTCTACATAAGAGGCTGACGCTAAAATAAATATTAAAACAGGGGCCGGCGGAATAGTACAGCAGATAGGACACTGCCCTGCATACAGACAACGTAGGTTTGATCCCCAGCATTCTATATGGTCCCCCAGGCACCACCAGGAGTAATTCCTGAGTGAAGAGCCAAACGTAATTCCTGAGCTTCGCCAGGTGTGGTCCAAAGACCAAAAACAATTAAATAATAATAAAACTAATTTGGACAACTTTTCAAACAGAAATACAAAAATACATGCAAAACAACTTAGAACAAAAGCTGGGCCCTCTCAAAAGGTGGTTCAGGCCCAGGGCCACTCCCATGAATTCTCAGCCAGACAAGCCAGATGGTTCACTGCCAGGGAATGAAGATATGGTATTGCTTGGGTTCTGCCATGCCAGGGAGCAATCAAGGTCACCTCAGCAATGCTCAGGGGGTCACTGGGGCTACTGCTCAAGGGTTGCACCATCAATGACCTGTGATGCTCAGAGAATCACAAGGTGCTGGAAACCAACAGGGAAGGGACACATAAAAGCATGTTCCTTAGCCCCTGTACTATGGCTCTGGCCCCAGAGATCACACTTTTATAAATTTTAACCTGCCTTACATGCGGCTGACTTAGTCTCAATCCCTGGCATCCTATATAGTCTCCTAAAGTGGCTAGGAAAGATTCCTGAGTGCTGAGCCAGGACTAACCCTGAAGCACCGCTGGGTATGGGCCCACCCCCCACCACCAAAAAAAATTAAACAGCATAGAACAATAGATTTGGGCTGGAGCAATAGCACAGCAGTAGGGCGTTTGCCTTGCGCGCAGCCAGTCCGGCCGAGCCAGGTTCGATTCCTCCGCCCCTCTAGGAGAGGCTGGCAAGCTACTGAGAGCATCTCGCCCGTACGGCAAAGCCTGGCAAGCTACCCGTGCCGTATTCAATATGCCAAACACAGTAACAAGTCTCAAAACAGAGACATTACTGGGCCCACTTGAGCAAATCGATGAACAACAGGAGAACAAAACAATAGATCTATCTTAGTAAGAATGGTTTCTGTATAGCTCTTGACAGTTTCAAGTATCAGTCACAAAAGTAACAAGGACTTACAAAGATCTAAAAAAGTAAAATTAAGGGGCAAGATAGCACAACAAGCAAGGCACTTACTTGCCTTGCACACAGTTGACCTGAGTTCAATTCAGGGCACTGCATAGGGTACCTCAAGCCCCACCAGGGGTGATCCCTGTGCAAGAGTAAATCCTGAGAAACTGGAAGGATAGTACAGTGGGTAGGGCATTTGCTTTGCATGCAGCCGACCCAGGTTCAATCCCCAGCATTCCATATGGTCCCCCAAGCACCGCCAGGTGTAACCCCTGTGCATCACTAGTTGTGACCCAAAAAAAGCAAAAATAAAGAACGAAAATTGAAAAATAAAAAAAGTACATCCTGAGTGCAGGGGGTGTGATCCAAGCCCCCATCACCCCCCAACAAACAAAAACACACACTAGCCTGGTAAGTTACCCGTGGCATATTCAATATGCCAAAAACAGTAACAATGATGGTCCTCATTCCCCTGGCCCTGAAAGAGTCCCCAATATGCCATCAGGCCACACTAGCACGTGACAGGGATGAATGGAGACGTTACTGGGGTCTGCTCGAGCAAATCGATGAACTATCAATGATAGTGATAGTATAGTGACAAGCAAATAATAAGACATATGGCACTTAGCAAAACTAAATAAAAAACAAAATTTAGTCTATAGATAGCTAACAATTTAATTTTTTTCTTTCCTTTTATTGTTTTTCCAGGGATTGAACCCATACATCTGAGCATATACTCTAATACTGAGTGCATATCTGGCCCCAGTTAGTTATTTTGCCTAATAATTAAAACTATGAAGAATGTTAGAAACTATTTTATCAGAAAAAAATCTATCTTACCTATGAAATAGACAACAGAATGATTTAAATACTAAGGAAAATTACTCTGACTATAAAGATGAAGCAATAAATTAAATAAACTATAAATTTCTAAGACTCAAACCTAATTTGGGGGACATTCATTCAAAACAAGTCAAGTCAAAGTTGAAATCCTGACTTCTTTCAAAATATAACCCCTTCCCTAATTTGAGAATGACTAAAAGAAAATGAAGTAACTTTTGCTTACTTGAAAACTTCTTTGGTGAGAGACTGATCCAGTGTTTGAAACAAAAAATAAGAAACGATTTGAAAGGCATCACGGTTCAACTTGTCAAACATGTCCCTAGAGATTTAAAAAAAATAAATAAGTCAGGGGAGAAAAGGCAATAGTTAAAAGTAAATATCATCAATAGCTGTGTTAGAGTAACAAATTAATTTTCAGTTATCTTTAAGCAAACAAATTATTTTTTCTCATTCATGTGCATTTTTATCAACAATTTTTTGGTCAGAAAGATAGTACAGTAGGTAAGGCACTTGCCATGCATGAAGCCAACACTGGTTCAAGTCTGGCACCACATTAGATCCCACGAACACTGACAGGAGTGATCCCTGAATACAGACTCCTCATACCAGGTGTGGTCCCAAACCCAAAAACTAACTTCTGTTAGGGTAGAAACAATTAAAAAAAAAATACAAGATTTTACTTTCTGACTCCTAAATACATAGACTAACTAGGAGAAAACTGGTAGTCCACTTTATATCAGTGAAAATATTGTAAAAAGAAAAGTGTAAACTAATTAGATGGAGAGAAAACCATGGTTCATGGTCTCCTTCTCCAGAAGCATGAAGATGATACTAACCAATATTGCCTAAGAAACAATAATATCTAACTTGTATCTGTTGAACTTACTGTTTGCCAGGTTTCATTTTTGTACAGGCCCTTTGCAGGCCATGAGTCACCTAAATCTTCACTATAAACACATGAAGTGCTGTACTTGGGTTTTAACCTGCATTTGGCGGGGAGGTGTCCACACCCAGTGGTGCTTAGAAACTACTCCTGCTCAGTGCTCAAGAAAGAATGTGCGGGGCTGGAGAGATAGCACAGCGGGTAGGGCGTTTGCCTTGCACGCGGCTGACTTGGGTTCGATTCCCAGCATCCCATATGGTCCCCTGAGCACCGCGCGGAGTAACTCCTGAGTGCAGAGCCAGGAGTAACCCCTGTGCATCGCCAAGTATGACCCAAAAAGCAAAAAAAAAAAAAAAGAAAGAAAAAATGTGGCGCCAGGGACTGAAACCAGTGTTCCTGCAAACAGTTCTGCCCTTTGAGCCTGGGGCAGAGAGAACACTGATCCCAAAGTATTCAGGGAACTATGTGGTGCTGGCAATCAACCAGAGCACTCCAGTCCTTTGAACAATCCCCCCAGCCCTACAGAAGTTGTTTACATCACTGACAAATTAAATAATGTGTCCAAAGTCACATAAACGGGACAGACATTTTATAATTTAAATAATGTTCTGAAAAGATATCTCACTTGGGTGATTTCTTGTTTTCAAGACTTCTAAACAAGGACTTGCACTGGGTGCTTGCACACACACATGGCTGACCGGAGTTTGATCCCCAGCACCATATATGGTCCCAAAGCCATATCTGTTGTGTGTGATCCCTGAGCACACAGCCAGGAATAAACGCTGCTCATGGCTGAGTTTAGCCCCAAAACCAAAAATAAAGTTGCCATTCTTATTCATTCATTTATTTAATTTTTGAATCACACCAGCAGCACTCAGAGATCATTCCTGGCATGCTGAGGGGTCACATGTGGTATGACGAACGGATGTGGGTTGGCTTTGTACAAGACAAGTTCCCTACCTGCTATACTATCACTCCAGTGCAATCCCCCATTCCTTCTATTTTTTGTTTTTTGGGTTTTTTTGGGGGGAGAGCCACAATCGCAGTGCTTGGGGCTTTCTCGTGGCTCTATACTCAGGAGTCACTCTTGGCTGTGCTCAAGGGATCATAGCATATGAGGTGCTGGGGGTCTACCACTTATAAGGCAAGCAGTACTATTACTCCAGCACAATTCCCCATTCTCACTCAAATGTCAAACGGTTCTTTTGGGAGAGGGAGGGGATCCACACCCAGCAGTGCTCAGGAGTTATTCCTGGCTCTGCACTCAGGAACCATTCTTGGCAGTGCTCAGGGGACTATATGAGATGCTAGAAGATCAAATCTCAGTGCAAGACAAGTGCCCTACCCAGTATACTATAGCTCTGTCCACCTCCTTCTTAAATTTATTTATTTTGGGCCACACCCGCCAGCACTCATGGGGGAGCTCTCGGCTCTGCACTCCTGGCTGGCTTCGGGGATTACAGGGGATGCCAGGGATCAGAAGCAGGGTAGGCTGCATGTAAGCCAAGCATCCTATCTGCTATATCACTCTGGCCCCTCAAACAATTCTTGTCCTTCGAAAGGTTCTATTACTCAAAGAACTCAAATGAAGCTCCTCATCATCATCCCTCTAATTTGTTATTTTTCACATATTTTTCATTATTCTCTTAAACATTGCTATTCTTAATTTTGATCAAGATACTTGTTGACAGTTTGAAATATTGCAAGGTCATCATTTAAACCAGGTCTAATACTGTGCTCAATTAGTATCTGTTGAATGAATAAGAGTTCCCACTGCCACCTTAGTTTAGACTCACCTAACTTCAAAGAACTGATTCCCCCACCCAATCAACTTTCTGTAATGCAATCAGTATGATTTTTTCCAAAGTATAACTCTTTTGGCATTCAAGCCCAATACATCAAGATCCTCCGTGAGCTGTATTGCGGATTCACTACCAGGATCTCACCATTCTACAAAGAAGTGATCGTTGATGTCAAGAGAGGGGTTCGGCAGGGTGATACCATTTCACCGAAACTCTTCAGTGCCACCCTCGAGAACATCATGCGACGACTGGAATGGGAAGGAATGGGAGTGAAGATAGATGGTCGGCAACTACACCACCTCCGCTTTGCTGATGACATTGTTTTAATAACACCAAACATCAGCCAAGCGGCACAAATGCTGGCCGACTTTGACCGTGAGTGTGGAAAGGTAGGACTACAGTTGAATCTTATGAAGACAATGTTTATGAGAAACAGCCTCGTTCCTGATGCCCCATTCGCTCTCAACGGAACGACCATCTCCGAATGCAACAGCTATGTGTACCTAGGTCGAGAAGTCAACATGACAAATGACCTGGCACCCGAGCTGCGCAGGAGGAAGAGAGCGGCTTGGAACGCCTTCAAGAACGTCGAAGAAATAACTAAGAGGACGAAGAACCTCCGGCTCCAGGCACATCTCTTTGATTCCACTGTTCTTCCTGCATTAACATCTGCCTCAGAGACCTGGGCCCTATGCAAACAGGATGAGAACACTATTCAGGTCTCCCAAAGAAGAATTGAAAAAGCTATGCTTGGAATATCATGTTTCACTCAAATGAGAGAAAGAATCCGGAGTTCCGACATCCGTTGACGATCAAGAATCAGGGACGCTGTCTCATTTGCCAAGGTGTCAAAAATCAGATGGGCTGGTCACGTAATGAGATTTAAAGATGACCGCTGGACTAGAGCTGTTACTGACTGGATTCCACGGGATGTCAAAAGACTGTGTGGCCACCCACCTACCAGATGGTCAGACTTCTTCGTCAAGATCATGAACGATCGGTTTGAGGCTCTTCATGTTCCCAGAGCGAACAGATGCCATTGGGATACACTAGCACACGCCAGGGACAAATGGAGACGTTACTGGCGCCCGCTCGAGCAAATCGACGACTAACGGGAAGTTAAATGATTAAGTGATAACTCTTTTGGGTAAATACTAAGGAATGGTAGAAACTCATGGATCTAAACACCAAAAAGAATGAATAAAATACTGACAGTGTTGGGGGAACCCAAAGATACTTTATATGGTAAATTTGATGCCACACTCATGCTTAACACATTTTAAAGGGGACATCTCTTTCAAAAGATGGTAGACACCTCCCGGTAATAACTAAACTCCCAAGACCTACACTGTGGCAAACCTATGACCATACTGAAAAAGGAAAAACTGCCACTAAGGAATGGGCCAGGACATCACAAATTTTAGCTATATTTCAAAATCTTTAAGTAGATTGCAAATGAATAAGCCAAAGACTTAAATACCCGGAGCACTTCCTACCGTGGCAAAGGAGGGAAGGGGCGTTCACTTTCCGTACAGATGCCCTTCTCTGCGGCCTTTTCCTGTGGCCTGCTTCCGTTTTCCAGACCCCAGAGCAAAATGTCATCAAACTAAAGCGCAGGTACCTTCAAGGGCTCCTCCCCTCGAGTCCTAAAGGCATCTGTGCACAGTGCCCCACGCCCCCGCCCCATCCCACGTCCTTCCATTCCGGGGTCGCCACCTCTCCCCCTCCTTCCACCCACCTTACAGAAAACTCGACGGACTCCACCCGGGGACCACCCAGAGCCCGCCCAGCGGCTCCGCAGCTGAGCATAGGAAGCCGCCGGCCGGGAGCTCGGGGCTGGGCGGCAGCCGGTGGCCGCCGCGGGGTGGCCGCTGAGCGGGAGCGCGGGTCCTGCCGGGCATCTCCCGCCCGCATCTCCCGCTCCCCCACCCTCAGCTCTCCCCCCGTCCCCGGGCCTGGGGTGGGGGAGCGGCCTCCTTACACTCCAAGGTGCGTGTGCGACTCGATCTTCCCGCAGGCAGCGGTGGCCGGGCCCGGCTCAAAGCCCAGCGCCTGCAGATACATCCAGAGATGCTTCTTCTCGAAAGCCAAGAGCCAAGCTGAGCTCATCTTCGCGGCCGGCCGCGTCGCTGCAAGGGAAGAAAGCGCAGGCCCCGAGGACCACTCGAGAATCAAGGACCACTGTGTCTTTCCCGGCGCACTGCCTGGGGTCGCGAAGGCAGCCCCTCCATTGTCACTGCCTGCCCCTCTCTAGCCCGGAGCCACCTCGCCTCCAACGGCCGTCGGGGTGTGTTCGTTTGCCAGGAAACAGAGGCTCTAAGCGGTAATACGCTCCAGCGCCCTGAAGACGAGCCACAAACCGAGATTCCCGCGCTCCCTGAAGAAGTGCTTCCGGAACGATGAGCGACTTCCGGGGCACGCCCAGCTTGGCGCCTTTCTGCCGCCCCCTTCCGTTGACGCCCCGCGGGTGAACTACAAAACCCAGAATGCATTGCGCGGGGCAGCTGCCCTTGATGAGCGTGCGTAACTGCGACCCCTTGCTTTCTGGGTATCTTAGGTCTTGCGCTTTTGTGAGCCCTCTAATCTTTGAGGTTCCCTACACTGGTTGAGGCCCGTTCTCACCCGTAAACGTACACTGGGGAGTGGTGTGGAGAAAAAAAAAGCATCTTTAGTTTTTTTCACGAGCTATATGAATAGGCATGAGTGAGGCAGCAATTACCAATTAATTTATAAATGAAGTGTGGTCTATTACTAACAAAATCTTGGTAAACGGGCTCTCAATTGCTGGATATTCCTTTTTTCTTGCTCCTGGTGAAAGATAGCCCCGTGACAATTGGGCCCTAGCAAAGCAAGTCCCAGTCCTGCAGCTGCGGCAGGCTAGCAACATCAAGTACCCCCACCTCCTCCCTGCACCTGGAATTCGCCAGATAAGGCCACAAGGCCAGAGAAGACCTAATGAGGCATCTCCTTGTCCCGGAATCCGCCTAACAAGGCCCAACACCAAGTACCCCCATGTCCTCCCTGCACCTGGAATTCACCAGATAAGGCTACAAGTTCAGAGAAGGCCTAATGAAAAGGCCTAATTGACTGCCCGGTGGTAGGGCCTGGTACAGAAGAGAGTGGCTGGTGCTGATGGCTTGTTGCAAAATGATTGGCTTCCTGCGTGCAGCATCTAATGTGATAATTCAAATGTATTAGGTGATTTGTGCGAGGGCTTTCTGAAATGCGCTGGAAGATGCCCTATAAAAAACCCCCTTTGAAGAGGCTCGGGGCTCTCAGTCACTGACGGTTTGTGGTCATGCTGTGAGCCCTGGCATGCTCGAATAAACCTCTTGCTTTTGCATGGACTTGGTCTCTCAGAGTTCTCCTTGACAGGTGAGGCTGTCCTGAGCTCGGACCCTAACACTGGTTCTACCCTACGCATATCTGTTTCCCCTGAAACCCTCTCCCATATCCCCTTTAGAATAGGGCCGAGAAAGAAACGGCGGAGAAGCTGCTCGTTTCTTCATTGCCTCCTCTGGCAATTCCAGCCTCACTAAAACTGTTAGGGTCGAGATGCTTGCCACCCATGAAAGAAGACTCCAAGAGACTTTCTCATGCAACACGCACAGGGTTTATTGTCCAAGCATGCTGGGGGTCACCACATGTCCTGAAAACAGGACAGAGGCAGAGAGCCCCAAGCCAAAGTACAATGGGTTTTTATAACCAAGAATAAACAAAGGAATCTTACAGTACAGCAATCTTCAGCTTTACCAAGAACAGCATGACACTTGCACAAGATTAACTTCTTCGGAACATCTGAGCACATGCCCCCATATCTGGCCCAACCACAAGGTCACAGCAGGGTGTAGGTGGGACCTACAAGTTTGCAACTCTAGCTTTCACAGCTTTTACAGTTTTCTGGTTAACTCTTTCCTACCACTTAACTCTTTCATGACTATTAGCCTGGGCAGCCCTTACATTTCTATCTCCAGCCTTACAAAACCACTAGCTACTTTGAAATTTGGTCCACCTGCAGCTCTTATAGATCATCTATAAAATCTCCCAAACTGCTGAACTTGATTCAGAGACTTGATATTTGATTTTTACTCTCCAAAATGGTATCAGTATACACATCAATGGTATTTCCAGGGACCTGGGCTCAGTGCCTACACTCCCACACTCACTTTTTTCTCAGCCACCTACTCTCATTGTTCAAAACCTTAAAACCCCCTTCATAATCTCAGTTTCAACCTTGAACTTCCTTGCTCAATCTAAGTCTTCTTCTCCTGGACGGGAGTGATAGCTCAATGGGCTGTACATATACTTTGCCACCAGGAGCAACACCCCACCCCACACCTCACAGAACCAGAAGTAGCCTCTGAGTACTGCCAGGCATGGCCCAAAAACAAACAAATAAATCTTATTATTCTGTAAGTCCTGAGAAGATCAGAGAAGCTTCTAACCATATCTTGTGATTGTTTCATACCTTCCTCACAGTATATGATCATTATCTTGAACACAAGATCAGCTCCCTAGTCCTCTTTGTCAGTTTTAACTAGAAGACCTTAAATCCTATTAAATATATATCTCTGTATTCTCCAAACTTGCAGTTTGACAGCTATAACACAATTATGATGCTTTGTGTTACTAAAAATTCAGGATTTAACTCAAGTAGGCTCCTAGATTTACCCTTTTAAAAAAACGGGGGGGGGGGTGTTGTGGGTGAGAGGAACTCAAGGAGGGACAACTCCTAGGCTTTTAAAACTGCAGAATGCACCATTTGTCCAAGGGTCTGTGATTAGAAATGCATTTGACCACACAGCCGTTTGGAATGAAATGCTTTCTAATCATCATGTCTTCATTAAAGCCTCACTCCTTGGAGATGTGAATCTTCTGGCAGTCAGGGAACTTGAACTTCACCCTGTGTAGAGCCTCAATCAGATGCTCCTTGATCTGGAATGTACTCCAGATAGACATGATGATTCAGCCAAGGTGGACACTAGCCACTATGCCCTGGAGTTTCCCAAAGCCACTTCACATACCTGTCTGGATCTGAGATTAAGGATAGCCTGAGGGCAAAAATAAAGGTCCACTGCAAAGAACTGTGTCTGGGGCTGAACAGATAGTGCAGGGTGCTTGCCTTGTCTGTGACCAAACTCATTGCAATCCCTAATACCATATATGGTCCCCTGAGTACTGCCAGGAGTGATCCTGAGCACAGAGCCAAGAGTAAGACCAGAGGACCTCCGAGTGTAACAAAAAAAGAAAATAAACCATTTTCAAGATTCCTTAGGGCAAACTTTACAAGCAATAGGTGACTGACACTCCCATGGAAGCTGCTGCTTGCACTCCTTGGACACTGGGCCATAGGGAAAAGGCAGGCTTCCCCTCTCTACCCTGCTATTTCCCCAGATGTTACTCCCAGTTACACAGGTCTTCCTCTCTCTGGTATGCTCTACTACCTCTTCCCTAACCCTCACTCTCAACGATGTTCTTAGATGCTCCTTACAAAGAGCTTCCACCAACTATTAACCTGCCCGTGTACTTTTTCAATTTTGTCCCTAAACCCAGAGGTGCCTATGTGGGATTCCCAGCAGAGCTCAGGGGAACAAGCAGTGACAAGTTTCAAAATCAAGCTACAGAGCATTTGCTCCAGTCTCTGAGCCATCTCCATTCCCTCACCATGTTTGGACCCATATAATCCTCCTCTTAATTTCAGTACACCATAGCTACCTAAGACGAATCCTTTTGCTGACTTAATGAATCGTGTTCATTTTCTCCTCTACATGGAATTCGTACCAGCATTTGTGTTCTGTTCTCACCTATTTTGTCAGTTCTTCCCCTTTGTTTGCAGATATGCTGTAGTATCTTCTGTCATTACAAAATAAAATTATTTGGCCTCCAAGCCTGTCACTCTACTTGTCCTTCTAGCAAAACTTCCAAAAACACGTATCTGTCACCATCTACCACTGACAATAACTAGCCACTTGGATCAATTAGCATTTTTTACTTTCAAGGAGCAAAGCTGACCATAATGGAATTTTAAATCCCCAGCACCACATATGGCCTCCCCAGCAGCATCAAGAGTAACCCCTGAGCACAAAGCTAGGAGTAATCCTTGAGTACCACTAGGTGTAGCCCAGAACATACAAACAAAACAAAACCAAAAAGCCACAAATTCTAATTCAAGATTATACATCAAATTGTTTATTGTAGGTACCTCAAAGAATAAGCTTTGAAGAAATGTATAAAATAAGGCATAATATAGAGCTAGAACTTCTTACAAAAGTTTAGATCAGTTTCATTACAATTAAAACCAAAAAGGAGCCCCACCCATAAAAAATCCACTAAGGTACAGAAATAGACACATGATCAAACATGAAGTTAATGTGACATAAATTTGAAATTCAAAGAATTATTTTCCTGTTATTCAACATTTTGCCAAGAATGCTCAGGGTCATTAGATTATGAATGTTCTGCTTTATCCTCTTTATCCAAAGGTATGATATCTGGAATTTCATCCATCTCAGGTGTCAAGTCTGTGGCTGTCACATCAAGTGCCTATAAAAGAAGAATCTTGGATATTAAAACAAGTACTAATAAAGTGATTGTCAAGTTCAGGTAAACTCATGAAGACAGTAACTACTGCATGTGCATGGATCTTACTTTATTCATAGTTGTGTTTTCTTTTCTTTTTCTTTTTTTTGTTTTTAAGCAATACCTGGCAGGTGCCCAGGGCTCACTCCTGGAGGTGCTCAGGGGGCTGTATATAGAGGTGGAGATGGTTGGTGGCATGCAAGTTGTGTAACTTAATTGTGTTTTTGAACAAGATGTTTGTAGTCTCATTCCTAAAAATCCATTCATATTACAAAAGCACCAAGAAACATTTTCATGGGGTCAGGACTATGGCTAAGTACTAGAGTACTTTCCTTGCATGTGTGAGATCCTGGGATCAATTTCCAGCACCACATTGGGTGTGGAAGGAAGCCATGCAGGGACTACTCCTGCACTAAGCAGTGGGATTTGAACATCGGACTCCTGCTTATAAAGCACACCATTCCAGTCCCTCTGACCCCAAGCAATATTTTATTTACAAAGAAGTTACCTGTTACTTGTAAGTTACTTGTCCTGCTTTGCCTGAGTCCTAATTCAGTGGCCCTGTACTACCTATGATCTCCTCCAAGTACCAAGCCCTGAGCACAGAGGCAGGAGTGGTTCCCAATCCCCTGCCACTTTCCCCCAAATGGTAAAGGGCAAGAAATACCCCAACAGGCTAAGCATATGCATTGGATGCAGAGGAGACCTCAGTTTGATCTCAGCATCT